TAACTTCCTGACATTGCCATGGCATCTGTAAACTGTCATGGCACTGGTGGGAGTGTAGCAGTGAGGAGGACCAGAGGTCACTCTCAGTGGCCGTCTTTGTTTTGGTGGATTTTAGCCAGCTTCTTTACTGCAACCTGTTTTATCAGCAAGTTCTTTATAACCTGTATCTTGTGCCGACCTCCTATCTCATCCTGTGACTTAGAATGCCTTAAACATTGGGAATACAGCCAAGTAGGTCTCGGCCTCATTTTACCCAGCCCCTATTCAAGATGGAGTTGCTCTGGTTCAAATGCCTCTGACAAAGAGGGTTTTAGAGAATTATGAGTTTCTGTAAACTGAGGGTTAAGAGGGAGAGGGTCTCCCTTCCTCATTCATCCCCTTCTACCCTCGCTCTACAAATATTTTTCAAGCACCAACTCTCTACCAGGCACTGATAATGGTAGCTGTGTCCTTGCAGGCAACGGGCACCAGCTGAGCAGCCCCAAGGGCCCCTCTGGACCAAACAACAGCAGGAATGAAGAGGCCCTGGCTGAGCCTAAGGAGCACCGAGAAGGGACAGTTGTTATTCCATGAGGCAGGGATGGCAGCTGCCCCCAGCTTGTCCATGGAGACTATGGAGAGAGAGTGAAGAAGGGCTTGCCAGGGAGGAGTTGGGGCTCCTCGCTCAGATCCTCAAAGCATGAATTTGTGCTTGCTCCAGCAAGGTGCCCAAAACACAGACACGAGGCAGCTTCATCCCTAAGTCTTCTCTTCTCCCAGTGTAATGTCCCCCATTACCAGCCCCAGTACCTGGAGGCTGACAGCAAGGTCACCCTCCTTGTACCTCCTCACCCATTGCCCCATGTTGGGCTCTCTGCCACCCTGTCCTTGTTGCTGTCCTCTCAGTCATCAGCCTCCCCTGCACCTGCCCTTGTAACGCACTCACAGGCTGGTGACATCTCTTTTCCAATTAAAACCTCAAAGGTGAAAAGCTGGGATGATGAGAGCAGCCCCAGCCCTACGTCTACAGCCACCTGGCATGCCCGCAGCCAGGTGCAGGTGAATCGCCCTGGCCCCAGGAGTCCTCACAAGCAGGGTCTCCCAACGAGCCCATCAGCTACCCTGTCCAAAAGACCCTGTGTCTGCTCCTGTCTTACTTCCTTTCCTCCTTTCTTCCCTCCTTCCTTCTTTCATTCCTTCCTTCCTTCCTTTCTTCCCTCCCTCCCTCCCTCTCTCCTTCCTTATCTTCCTTGCTTCCTTCGTTCCTTCCCTCCTCCCTTCCTTTATTTCTTCCTTCCCTCCCTTCCTTGCTTCTTCCTCCCTTTCTTCCTCCTTCCAGCCTTGCCTTCTTTCCTTCCCTCCTTCACTCCTTTCCTTCCTTTTTCCTTCCTTCCTTCCTTCCTTCCTTCCTTCCTTCCTTCTTTCCTTCCTTCCTCTTCCCTCCTCCCTTCTCACCAGCACTCCCATAGTATTAAGGTTAAGGGCTAGCAGTTGTACAGGACTAACTAGGGGTCAGGCCCTGCTCTAAGAGCTTTATAGGAATTGTCCCCTTTAATCCATATGACAGGCAGTGGTCAAGCTGGACAAACAAAAAGAAGCTTTTGAACCCCTGAAATATCATAGGCAGGAAAAAAACAAGAAAATTACTCAGGTGCAAATCTTGGCTATTATGCAAAAGGAATGCTAACACAGAGAACAGACCAAGAGCCCAGAGGATGGAACCAAGAGCTTCGGAGAATCATTCTAGGCAGTGGAACTGCATCCTGAAGGAACTGGTCACGTGGTCACGTGTGCCAGGCCGGATTTCAGAATTTCTTTTTTTCTCTTTTTCTTCTTCTCCTCCTTCTTCTTTTTTGAGATGGAGCCTTGCTCTGTTGCCCAGGCTGGAGTGCAGAGGCGCAATCTTGTCTCACTGCAACCTCCGCCTCCCAGGTTGAAGTGATTTTCCTGCCTCAGCCTCCCAAGTTGCTGGGATTACAGGCACGCACCACCATGCCTGGCTAATTTTTGTATTTTTAGTAGACATGGGGTTTCACCATGTTGATCAGGCTGGTCTCGAACTCCTGACCTCATGATCTGCTCACGTCAGCCTCCCAAAGTGCTGGGATTATAGGTATGAGTCACCACGCCTGGCCCTTTCTGCCATCTTTATCCTTAATCCTACATTACCCTCCACCCACATTCACCATTTAATTCATAGAGTTTTGTTTTTTTTTGAAATGGAGTCTTGCTCTTGTCACCCGAGCTGGAGTGTGGTGGCACGATCTTGGCTCACTGCAACCTCCGCCTCCCGGGTTCAAGCAATTCTCCTGCCTCAGCTTCCGGAGTAGCTAAGACTATAGGCACGTGCCACCACGCCTGGCTAACTTTTGTATTTTTAGTAGAGACGGGTTTTCACCATGTTGGCCAGACTGGTCTGAAACTCCTGACCTCAGGTCATCTGCCTACCTCGGCCTCCCAAAGTGCTGGGATTACAGGCATGAGCCACTGTGCCTGGCTGAGTTGTGTTGTTTTTATGCATAGAAAAATCCACAAAAATAGTGGAGAGATTTCAAAAGCATGCTTTTCTCAGTAACTAACATAATAAGATGACAAATAGTTGGCAAGGATATAGGTAGAGCAAGGATATAGAATATTTGCGAATATACAGAGTCACAGAATACAGCGCAGTGAGACACTTCTCTTGGAGTGCACACGAAGCCCTAATCAAAACGAACCCTCTGTTTATCTGTTAAGCAAGCCTCAAAAAATTTTCAAGATCTGAAATCAAACAGAGCATGTTCTCTGACTACTAGGGAATTAAGCAAAAAATTAGTTTAAAAACATGACTGGAACATCCCCAAGGTTTAGAAGTTTTTTCTTTTTTTCTAAGTTGGTGGTATGAATTGGAAGGGTTAGAAGTTAAGCAGAATATATTTTAATAACCTATAGGTCAAAGAAGACATCTCAATGAAAGTAAAAAGATATTTTAAACAAATGGTAATCGAAATGTGACATATCAAAAGTTGTGGGATGCATATAAAGCTGTACTTAGAAAATATGGCCATAAATACATACGTAAAAGAAAGAAGAAAGGAGCCGGGCACAGTGGCATGCATCTACAGTCCCAGCTACTAGGGAGGCTCAGGGGGATCACTTGAGCCCAAGAGTTGAAGACCCGCCCAGGCAATGTAAAAAAAAAAAAAAAAAAAAAAAAAAGAGGGAAAAAAATGGTTCAGTATCAATTATCTAAGTAAAAGTATTTATTTAATTTCCAACTCATGAGTACAGAAAAGAACAGCTAATTAAACCCATAGACATAGAAGGCAAGAAATAATAAGAGTAAAAATTTCAGAAATATGAAAAAGTGTACATATAGTACAGAAAATTAACAGAACAAAATGCATTATTAAAAAGACTAATAAAGTGGATAACCCCATAAGAAAACTAATCAAGAGTCCAGGCACGGTGGCTCATGCCTGTAATCCCAGCACTTTGGGAGGCTGAGGCAGGTGGATCACCTGAGGTCGGGAGTTTGAGACCAGCATGACCAACATGGAGAAACCTCATCTCTACTAAAAATACAAAAAATTAGTCGGGTGTGTTGGCACATGCCTGTAATCCCAGCTACTTGTGAGGCTGAAGCAGGAGAATTGCTTGAACCCGGGAGGCGGAAGTTGTGGTGAGCCGAGATGGCGCCATTGCACTCCCGCCTGGGCAACAAAAGTGAAACTCTGTCTCAAAAAAAAAAAAAAAAACAAGATAACTAGTCAAGAAAAAAGAGGACACACAAATAACCAATATCAGAGATGAAAAGGGACAAAACTATAGATCCCAGATGCTTAAAAGATATAATAAATAATTTTAAGCCAATAAATTAAATAATTTAGATGAAATAGACAAATTCTAAGAAATACATATCTGACTAAAACAGCCACATGCACTGACAAGATGGGGATGGACTTTTGTGGAAGTCAGAGGAGGTCATACCTCATGCCCCTGGTAGGAAAAGTGGCCAAAGAGAGCTTCAGAGAACAGGGACCGATGGATGGGCTACATCTTGATGTCAGTCAAGCTCCTGGATGGCTGGAGAGAGGAAGGATGTTCTAGTTGGGGAAACAGTTTGGACAATGGAGACCCAGGAAAGCCACGTTCTAGCAGTGTGAATGTTTGTGCATGCTGAAGTGCCAGGATGCAAGGTGGAGAACTGGGAAATGGCCCTGGAAAGGGGCCAGGGCTGGGTGATGAAGCGCCTTGTCTACTGTGGAGGAGCTTGGATCTCTCTTGTGGTCCAAAAGGAAAGGATTGCTGAATGTAAAGCCAATGTCACCAGAAAAGTTGAATCCACAAGAGAGTGGTGGAGTCTAAAAGAGCATCTCATGGGGAATCAGGAAAGTTCTGGCATTTGGCAGATTAAGCAAGTGTCTTCATTTGAAGTACAGTTTAGTCCCAATACTCCCTCTCACATCCACCACATAGCACATTTGGTTTTGTGTATTTACTCCAGGTTAAGGTAGGGTCTCTTAGGCTTGGTTTGAGTGCTGTCCTCTTCTCTCTGGTCTGACATTTGGAACAAAAGCCAAGCCAGAACTCCAGGGCCAAGGGGGATGTTGAAAATTGTCTGAGTCCCCAGACCGCCCTGTCAGCACTTCAGCTGCTCTTCACAGCATCACCCTCTCTCTATTTAATGGTTTAGGGTTAACAGGACTTTTTCCTTGAGACTTGGAGCACAGAAGGAAGCCTCCCCCAAACTAGGCCCTTGGAGAGCAGACCCGGGGGAGCAGTGTAGTTCACTTTCACACCCCCAAGACGGCTCCTGACCTCTGCTCCCTCCTCCCCTCCCAAAGTGGAACAGAGAAAATATGATTCCCCACAACTTCCACATCACAGTTTCCAAACAATGGGGAGATCAGAGGCCTCCCCGAGTGCGGACGGACACATTCCGTCTGCGGTGATATTTACCGCCGAATGAGAACCAGGCAGATGCCAGTCCCAGCACGCACGCGGGTAACTTCACCCTCGCCTCGATGACCTCAGAGGCTGCCCGGCCTGCCCCACACCGGGGTGCTAAGCCTCCCGCCCGTCCTAAGCGGAGACCCAGCGCCATCCATAATTAAGTTCTTCCTGAGGGCGGGCTTCAGGTGCGCCTTCGGCAGGACAGTGCTAATTCCAGCCCCTTTCGGGGCGCGTCTCCCCTGCGCTCTTCCCCCGTCTGGAAGCCCCCCTCCCACGCCCCGCGGCCCCCCTTCCTCGGGCCCGGGTTGTTGCTCGTGCGCTGCCGGGAATGTCAAGGTCCCGCGCCCGCCAGGAGAGCTCGGTAAGTATATAAGGACAGAGGAGCGCGGGACCAAGAGACGGCGAAGGAGGGATAGAAGAGCAGCGACCGAGAGAGGCCGCCGAGCGTCCCCGCCCTCAGAGAGCAGCCTCCCGGGACAGGTAAGGGCGCAGCCGGGGGGAACCGCGCTCTTTCCCCGGGATTCCCTGTCCGCGTCCTCGCGATGCAGTCGGCCGGCTCCGGCTCCGAAGGCGGACCTGAGCGCCTCTGGCTCTCCGCGGTCCCGAGTTCTCGGCAAACTTTCTGTGCCGACTGCGGCGCGAGAAGCCGCCGGCAGCTGAGCTGGAGGGCCCACGTCCGGCCCCTGGGCGAACGGCCGCGGAGCTGCAGGCGCTGCCTCCAGAGAGCCGGCGGCCTCCGATCCCCCAGGGGCTTGTCGCGGTCTGGGTTCACGGCGCTCATGTGGGGAAACCGGGATCGCAGGCTGCTAGGGCCCCGGAGGCTCCGAGCGCCTGCTAGGAGGTCTTGGGACAGCCCGGTCTTTTTTTTTTTGAGACGGAGTTTCGCTCTTGTCGCCCAGGCTGGAAAGCAAAGGGGCGATCTCCGCTCACCGCAACCTCCGCCTCCCGGGTTCAAGCGATTCTCCTGTCTCAGCCTCCCGACTAGCTGGGATTACAGACATGCGCCACCACATCCGGCTAGTTTTTGTATTTTTAGTAGAGATGGAGTTTCTCCATGTTGGTCAGGCTGGTCTCAAACTCCCGACCTCAGGTGATCCGCCCGCCTTGGCCTCCCAAAGTTCTGGGATTACAGGCGTGAGCCACCGCACCCGGCCAGCCCAGTCTTTTAGTATCTCTTGCTCCCAATTTCCAGGATAGATGTCACTTCTTAAAAGTCAAATTTCATACACGCTCTCACAATTTAATGTTGGTAACGGGGCAGCAAAGAAAAGGATAAAAGTCATAGTGAACGCCCTACCTTCCAGATTTTTTTGGATTCAGACCCCTGAATCCTTGTTTCCCTGCCCACCTTAGTGCACCTGAGGTGGCCGCGCTATGATAATTCCTGGGTCAATTACAATACAGAATAGTTGGGTCTCTTCTCTCCAAGACCTAGCTGGGGTTAAAAACAGGTGGCCGGGCGGGAGCTGTCCTAGGTCCTGAAATGCACTGTCCAGTTTCGGATGCCCTCAACAGAACCAGGGGCGGACCGTTTATGGCGCAGACCCTGGGTTCAGGGAGCAGGCAGCCATTTGGAATGATCAAGGCTCAGGTAAGGGGCGTTTCCAGTGAAGGAGAGACAGTCCATTTGGCATTTGGATTCCCCAAATTCTTCATGTTTAAATGGGGCAGGAAGGGTTATTACAGAACGGCTGGAAGGAGCCAAGGCAAACAAAAGTGTGTGTGGATTTTTTTTTTTGTCAGTTTATAAGTTATGCACAGATTATGGCCACTTTAATGACTTAATATTCCTTTGAAACTTTTGTTTTAGGACTCGATGCATGTATGTCATGGTGTGAGGACAAAATTCCGCCCCTGTGCTCCTCTAATCTTTACAGAAGGGCAAGGCTAGCGTACAGTTTTAGAGTAACAAACAAAATGATTTGTTGAGCTCACACCTATGAAGTTCTAATAAGTGTAGTTCTACTACAAAGTTAATCTTTGGATGAGCAAATTGCAAGTTTCTATTTTTCCAGAGCTTTCCATTTTTGGATTATAATACTTGCCCTACTTTAAAAAGCACAACATTTGATATTTCCCCAATAATTTGTTGCTTTAAGAAAATGACACAAAAAGGTAATATTTGTTCATTGTAGAAAACTGAAAATACACATAAGCAAATACACATATACATAAGCAAAATATACAATGCAAACACAAAACCATCTTTCAGGAAGGAATCTGAAACTTTAGCAATAGCAGCCATCTGACGGTTGAGCATCAGAATATAAGCTCTGAGAGGGTGGGAGTGAATGTGTTACCAAATTGTACAACACAGCCCATAGGGCATAAGGAGGGGAAATGCTCTCTGGGGCTTTCCAGGAAGGCCTGAAGTCATTGCTTCTAGCAAATGGAAATCACTCCAGAGTAGTTATCTTTGGCGACAATTGAAATATAGTTGAGGGAACCATTAGACCTGTATGATTTTATTTTTTTCCTCTACTAATATGTTACTTTACATTTGCATTTGGTGACATATGTAACTACCATTTTTCTGTGACTGTAACATCTGGGCATTTTTCAGAGCTAAATGTGCTACAGTCAACTTGGAGCTTTAATCTAATTGCCTGGTCCACCAAGTTCGGACTGTGTACTTTAACTGGATCACTGGCAGGCTACAATGGGAACAGCCTGTCTCTTGGAGCCAGGAGAGGACCAAAGCTCGTTCAGCTGCCCCTTTGGCAGAAGCGCCCCTGGGCCAGTCACTGGCTGCCAGCGCCATCTAATGGCTGCTCTGAAAATGCTCAGCCTTGCCCGGCAACGCTTCAGAAGCGAGTCCTGCGCTGGCCCAGCGCCTGGGGAATAGGGCAAGGGTGGGGCAGAGAGAAGGAAGTGGCCTTCTGAAGTAGACAATGAGCACTTCGGAGGACTTTCACTTCCAAAGCCTCCCCTATATAAAAAAGATTTGGCCAACGCCTCCCCAAATGAGAGATTTCTTTTAGGCAAACTTATTTTAAAATGCCAGCGTTCATTAGGAGTGACAAGACACTTAGTCATCCACACTTTAATGTGAATCACTTTTCTCATCTAATTACATTTCTTTCTAGCAGCTGGCTGAGAAGATCTTCTGAAATCCAAAATGATTGTCGGGTTGGTGGTGAGCTGATCTCAGTCCTCCAGATGGCTTCAGGGGGTCCACCTGGTTAAGGGAAATCTGGCAGTGCGAGGGTAGTGCTGGAGAAAGGGGTGGGCGCAAGGGACTAGAGGTATCATAGATGACCCCTCTTTACTGTCCCCTGGTATCTTGACCTCAACTTCTGCCCACAGGCACTTTCTGGATTCTTCAAAAGTATCTGCAGTGGCTGTTCCACCAGGAGGTAATTCCCTTCTGGTCTGTCTCTTTCCCCTCCACACCTGCATCCTCTTCAAATCCTGCCATTTCAGACCACATTTCAGAGATCTAGAGAACAAGACATCTGACATGTGATGTATTCAGAAGATGAGCCAGATTTAAAAGAACTGAGATCTGCTTTATTTATTTTATTTTATTTTATTTTATTTTATTTTATTTTTGAGACGGAGTCTCGCTCTGTCACCCAGCCTGGAGTGCAGTGGCGTGATCTCGGCTCACTGCAAGCTCCGCTTCCTGGGTTCACGCCATTCTCCTGCCTCAGCCTCCTGAGTAGCTGGGACTACAGGTGCCCACCACCGCACCCGGCTAATTTTTTGTATTTCTAGTAGAGACGGGGTTTCACCATGGTCTCGATCTCCTGACCTTGTGATCTGCCTGCCTCGGCCTCCCAGAGTGCTGGGATTACAGGCATAAGCCACTGCACCTGGCTCAGATCTGCTTTATAAATGAAGCTCTCCAAAGTTACTGGAGTCTGGATAATAGTGATCACCAGAGTAATTTGTGTGCAGGACATTAAATCAGGTTGCTTGAAATGCTGCCTAAATTGGCCAGTGGTTTTATTTGCTTTGCTGTCAACCCAATATTCATAGGAAATAGAGTTTCAGAGGAATGATAGGATCCTGGTGGAATAAAAGGGGAAAAGACCATCTTGAGCAGGAATTTCAGGGTCCTCTGTTTTTCCCAAGTTACTTTAACCCCTTAGATCTGGCATGTTAGAGCTACAGCTTCATGTAGTGAAATAGGAGAGTTCTCTGTTAGGAGCTTAGCCTTACCTTGTCACGAACATTAAAGTAATTGTCTCTCTTTGGGCTTCAATTTTCCCATCTCTCATGGGAGGGGCAGAACCAAGCAATCCCCAAAATAGCTTCCAGCCTTAACGTTTTTAGGTGTCTCATTTTAATAGAAGACAACAGGGAAATGGCCACAGTTTACCCAGGTCCATTTCTTCCTCCTTACCACAACTTATACCACCACCCTACTACACACCTCCTTTCTCAGCATTGCTCCTGTCCTTAAAATGCCTTTAACTCCACAAGAGAGTGTGTTGTTAATGTTGGCTCAAGGTTCCTTCCTGGTGAGTGGCCAACATTGTTTTGCTCCTTGCAGGGGTCCCACCAATCTTGTTTGCTTCTGCAGTGCCTCAGCCTGCCTGGAAGATGCCGAGATCGTGCTGCAGCCGCTCGGGGGCCCTGTTGCTGGCCTTGCTGCTTCAGGCCTCCATGGAAGTGCGTGGCTGGTGCCTGGAGAGCAGCCAGTGTCAGGACCTCACCACGGAAAGCAACCTGCTGGTACGTGGGCCATGACTGCCATCTTGGCTTAGACATCAGATGGGACTGGAGCTGGGAAAGCTCAAAAGAAAGGGGTGTGGGGAAAGGGAAATTCATTCCCAGTGATAGGCGTGATTCAACCCAGGGCAGGAGCGAAACTTTGCAGTGAAGTAAGAAATGGGAGAAGGAATGAGGGAAGGAAGCAGCTTCAGGGAGAGGGGTTGAGTCCACAATTTCTGTTTAGTTATCCTTACTTCCTGCCCCATCTTCTATGGAGACCTTGAAACCCTTAAGCTAGAGATGGTGCTATAAGAACAATAATTGCCCCCTCAATGTATTCTGTACTTTAAATCTTTAGCTTCCCAAACTATTCCTTTTTAAGAAGCTCATATCACTTGCCATTTTCATTCCGTATTTCTTACCCTTTTATCTACTACCAGTTGCAAAACCAGCCAGGTAGTTCTTCAAATCATCTCTGGAAGAAGGAAAAACCAGGGGACTTTTTTTTTTTTTTTCCTCCTGTAATTGGTGCCAAATGTCTCATGCTACTTCTGGAGGACTGGCCTTCCCCCATGTCCCTCTGCAGTCTTTTCAGAGCATGTGAAGGCCCTTTGTGTCAGATAGGAGCTCCCTCCAGGTCACCACAGGGTGTATGTATCTGCATGTGGGGTGTGTGTGTGTGTGTGTGTGTGTGTTGGGGGGCATAAATGAGTAATGATGCCAAATCCAGAGATTAAAAGGCACACTGAGACCAGGCAAGATGGCTTATGGCTGTAATCCCAGCACTTTTGGATGCTAAGGTGGGAGGATTGCTTGAGCCCAGGGATTCAAGACTAGCCTGGGCAACATAGTGAGACCCCCATTTCTACAAAAAATAAAAACGTTAGCCAGGTGTGGTGGCATGTGCCTGTAGTCCCGGCTACTTAGGAGATTCACTTGAGGCCAAGAGTTTGAGGTCACAGTAAGCTATGATTATGCCATCGTACTTCAGTCTGGGTAACAGAATGGGACTTTGTCTCAAAACAAAACAAAACAAACAAGCAAACAAAAAACCCACACTGTTATTATCAGTGACTGGGATTTTAATCCTGTTACCATCACCTGGCAGGTGCTGAGGGTGGAATGTACATAATTACATTCTGTGTATTTTGTCAATGCAGAAGCTGAGTTAAGGTGAAGATAGAATGAGGTCTTCAAAGACACAGAGCAATTTCCATGTGTAATATAAAATAGAAACGAAGAGTCCAGGGAATTCTGTGAGTTCCAGTTCAGAAAGACCCAAGAGTCTCTTGACTTAAGACACCCACTGCACAGCTCACCAGGGAGGGCGCACTGGACACAGTCAGGACACATGGGTTCTAGTCCCAGTCGTGAGCTGTGGGACCTTGACCAGGTCCTATCACCTCTCTAAGTCTCCTGTTTCATTATCCATCCAGGGGAGGGGAGTGTAAGTTAGTTTTTTCCATTGTTAACATTCCACAGAGCTGTAATTCTAAACACCTGAAGTCGGAAATGTCCAGCTCAACAGAGTGGGTAGAATCCTTTTATTTTCTCCTTTGCTATTCTCAAGTAAGAGAGCAGCCAGTGAGCTTTTCATCTTTTTATCACTGAAAACTCAAGGTTGCAACCTACGCAGCCATTTTCCTAAGCAAATATGTACCACAATTGAGTCCTCCAGGGACAAGGAGCAGAGACACAGATTCCACAGACGGTGCAATGGAAATAACCCTGGCTTTCCACCCCTCCCTCCAGCCAGAATGAGATTACAGGGAAATAAGCTTGCCCCAGAGCTCACTGGGGGATCTCTCAGAGATCAGCTTAGAAGTCGTGAAAGAACCAAGGTGCAGTTTTGGAGGCTTAGTGCAGAGATGAAGCTGGGGTAGGGCATAAAGTAGGTTTTCCATCACTGAGGTAAGGTTGGGGCATTATTTAAAATATGTTTAAAAATATGGGCCCTAGTAGCCAGACTTCTATCACATGGAGAGATTATCCCCCAAATTTCAGCCCCACTCCCCTCCTGGACTTGAATTAAACCATATGTATTTATTCTATATATATATATATATATTTTTATGAGATGGAGTCTTGCTCTGTTGCCCAGGCTGGTGTATGGAGTACAGTGGTGTGATCTTGCCTCACTGCAGCCTCTACCTCCCGGGTTCAAGTGGTTCTCCTGACTCAGGCTCCTGATAGCTGGGATTACAGGCGCCCGCCACCACACCCAGCTTATTTATTTATTTATGCTAGAGATGGTATTTCACCATAAATTGGCCATGCTGGTCTTGAACTCCTGACTTCAGGTGATCTGCCTGCCCTGGCCTCCCAAAGTGTTGGGATTATAGGCATGAACCACTGCGCCCTGCCCTCAATATTCATTAAGTGCCAATAACTACCACCTGTCTGCCTTTCCTGGAGCCACTCCTTTATGTCAGGCATATAACAATAAGACTTTGGTCCTAGTCACAAAAGCTAGGAATGGCTAGATGGCTAGACAAACCACGGAATGGGATGGGGAGTTTGTTGCAGTTGCCAGGCAGAAGCATGCAGGGGATGGAACAAAAGAGTCGGTGGCAAGATCTTAGATGCCCACGAGTGCCAAGAAAGCAGGTGGGCAGACCTGCTCTGTAGGGAAGCCTCGACGCTTGACACGCCCGACATTGCGCCCTGTGTCCCCGGCACGTGGCGAGGGCAGCCAGGGCCTAGGCGCAGTGACGCGCGCAATGGCCGGGCCGGGGTGTAGAGCACGGGCTGCCCTCATGCCCTCGCGTCTTCCCCCAGGAGTGCATCCGGGCCTGCAAGCCCGACCTCTCGGCCGAGACTCCGGTGTTCCCGGGCAATGGCGACGAGCAGCCTCTGACCGAGAACCCCCGGAAGTACGTCATGGGCCACTTCCGCTGGGACCGATTCGGCCGCCGCAACAGTAGCAGCGGCAGCGGCGCAGCGCAGAAGCGCGAGGACGTCGCGGCTGGCGAAGACCGCGGCTTGCTACCTGAGGGCGGCCCCGAACCCCGTGGCGATGGCGCCGAGCCGGGCCCGCGCGAGGGCAAGCGGTCCTACTCCATGGAGCACTTCCGCTGGGGCAAGCCGGTGGGCAAGAAGCGGCGCCCGGTTAAGGTGTACCCCAATGGCGCCGAGGACGAGTCGGCCGAGGCCTTCCCCCTGGAGTTCAAGAGGGAGCTGACTGGCCAGCGGCCCCGGGCGGGGGATGGCCCCGACGGCCCTGCCGACGACGGCGCGGGGCCCCGGGCCGACCTGGAGCACAGCCTGCTGGTGGTGGCCGAGAAGAAGGATGAAGGCCCCTACAGGATGGAGCACTTCCGCTGGGGCAGCCCGCCCAAGGACAAGCGCTACGGCGGCTTCATGACCTCCGAGAAGAGCCAGACTCCCCTGGTGACACTGTTCAAAAACGCCATCATCAAGAACGCCTACAAGAAGGGCCAGTGAGGGCACAGCAGGGCCCTGGGGCTACCCTCCCCAGGGAGGTCGACCCCAAAGCCCCTGCTCTCCCCTACCCTGCTGCCGCCCAGCCTGGGGGCGGTGGTCGCGGCAGATATACAGCCTCTTAAAGCTGTCTGTAGTCAGGAAATAAAACCTTTCAAATTTCACATCCGCCTCTGACTTTGAATGTAAACTGTGTGAATGAAATAAAAATACGTAGCCGTCAAATAACAGCAGCATGGATTGGAGGAGCACCGTGGTTTCCATGCGGTAGGCTATTTCCCGGGACGTAGTGAGCATGTAAGGAAAATGTGCTTCCTCCCCCTACCCCCAAATGGATCTTCAAGGGACCAGATAGTTTGGGTGAAGGCTCAGGGTGGCTCCAACACCTCTAGGATGGCCGTATTTTCCACACACTCCACTGAGTGGAAGACTGCTCAGCTAGCACACGTGCAAAGGCAGGATTCCTGCAAGAGTGACCCCGGGTGCTCAGGGGCTCCCCGGCTCCTGTCCACCTCCAAAAGCCAGTTAGTTGTACAGGTTGAGGCCTAACCACGCCTGGGAGGGCTCTGGACTGTCACGTGAGAAGTCTTGGTAATGTCTCCGGGGAACTGAGTCCTGACTGCTCCTGGCAATTCATAGGACCTTAGGTAAGTCTCTGAACTTCTCCAAAATTTAGTTCTGTAATCTATCCCTCCCTTCCCAGTATGAGGGTTATTGTGAAGATTAAAGGACAAAATGGACATAATCTTTTCATCACAGAAGCTAAGTGTGAGAGCTGAGTTGGTATCAGTCCCAATTTGCACTCCCAGGCTACTCACAGATACGCTCAAACATACGGTCTCTCTCACACTCATGGAGACACACGTCTGTTTTAATACAACATACTCTACAGTTGCTTCTTCCAGCCCCTAGGGCTTAAGCCCTGATTGAGGCCCTCTGATCTCTCCTGCTATGCCCAAGCTCCTCCCTCCCCACATATTTCAGCTGCAACCCTTCTCCTCATCCTTAGTACTTCCCCCAGGCCTCTCTGATAACAGCTTCCTAACCAATTGGTCTCCTAGACTCCAGCCCTCTCCCCAGCCCATCATATAATGAATTCTTCGTATTAGTGTATACAAAATCTTGCTTCCCCCTCCCGCCCCACAGTCCCAGGCTCAAGAGTCAAAACAGTGCCCCCACCCCAATTTCTGTCAATTCCAAACTACTAAGCATGGTGGGCAGGACCCTTGTAGATGGGCACTCTCTCTTTACCAAACCCTGCTTCCCAAGTTTCCCTGGATGAAGGCGCTGTCTCACACTTGCTGGTCTCCTCACAGGCCTCGCATCGTCCTATACCCTCTGCCTGGAATCCCCCACCCTCCCCTGCAATTTTGTTGTTGTTTTCGAGACGAAGTCTCGCTCTGTCACCCAGGCTGGAGTGCAGTGGCGCAATCTCAGCTCATTGTAACCTTTGTCTCCCGGGTTCAAGCGATTCTCCTGCCTCAACCTCCCAAATAGCTGGGATTACAGGCATGCGCCACCACGCCCAGCTAATTTTTGTATTTTTAGTAGAGACAGGGTTTCACCATATTGGCCAGACTGGTCTGGAACTCCTGACCTCAGGTGATCTGCCCACCTCGGTCTCCCAAAGTGCTGGAATTACAGGGGTGAGCCACCACCCCTGGCTCCCCTACCATTTTGAATGCAACTCTTTTTTCAGTATGAACTCAGGCTCATGTCCACCTTTGTGGGGCAAGTGATGCCCTTTGCCAGGTGCCCTGTTCATTTTCAGTGTTTCTGCCATCAGCCCCTTCCACACTAGAGGGCGTGCTGTCCGGCTTGGATGGCAAGTTCCTTGCTGCATCCATGCCTATCTTTTCTCAGGAAAATTTCAAGCTTTGCAAGGGCAGAAGCCAGGTGTGTGTTTCTTTTGTATCTCCCCATAGTGCTGTCACAATGCTGGGACCACAGGTTTGCACATTTACATGCATTTACAATTCACATGAGACTTACCACATAGAGATGCACACATACATGTCAAATGCACTAGATAGACCAGTGCAGTATAGAGCAAAGCCAGCTGGGAAGCCTCTGTGTGTGGCGCTGACATATGTACCCCGTGTTATTTTGATGCTCTGGGAGTTCACAATGAAAAAATAATTGGGAATTCTCCCTGTGAAGTTTTGATATGCGGTGAGTCAGAAAGCCAGATTCTTTTTTTGTTTTTGAGACAGGGTCTCACTCTGTCTCCCAGGCTGCAGCGCAGTGGTACAATCTCGGCTCACTGCAACCTCTGCCTCCCGGTTCAAGTGATTTTCCTCACCTCAACCTCCCGAGTACCTGGGAGTACAGGCGCCCGCCACCACACCTGGCTAATTTTTGTATTTTTAGTAGAGACGGGGTTTTACCATGTTGGCTAGGCTGGTCTCGAACTCCTGGCCTCAAGTGATCCACCCATTTTGGCCTTCCACTGTGCTGGGATTATAGGCATGAGCCACTGCACCTGGCCAGGAAGCCAGATTCTTAAGACAAGGTGTTCCCCAATATGGCTTACATGGAATGTGCTAGAATGAATAATGGCCTAGGCCTTCCTAACAGGATGCTCCCATGCTGGGCATGCTGGGCCTGAGGTTTCCATCTTGGTAGCCTCCTTTCCCCCGCACCTTCTCCCTCTAAGACAGGTAAAGTCATGGTTAGTGGAGGTGGCTAAATGTCAGTAGTACACTGTTGGTATTTTCAGATCTCATTTGCTTCTCAAAAAAACCATTTGCTTTAAAGAAATCAAACAGCCATGTGGTGACAACATTAACATTTATTTGAAAAGGGCATCATGACAGCTCACTGGGAGATCGCGACTAATAGTCCTAGAGAATGATTTGGCTAAGAGTCCTTCTTCCTACACTTCCCCCCACTCCCCCTTTCCCACTTCCCGAAAATAAAACTAATCAATTCAATGGGTTTAAAATACAGAAAACCGCCACGGGCACTAATTCTGTACTCACATATAAATACACAAGCTATTATATACACATATTGTCAATTACAAACTATACTACACACACATGCACACACACACTCAGCCAGGTTGTGAGGCTCTAAGTGGACACAGACACATTACGAGGTATGGGCTGCAGCATTTGTGGATTCATAACTCTGCCTCCACGTTCCAGAAATCAACAGTCATGGGGGTAGAGCTTGGAAGAGGAAGGTGACTGGCTTGGGTGGCCCCACGGTCCCCTGAAGGAGAGGAGATCTGGCCAGCCAGGCTGGGGCTAAAGGGAGCACAGAAAACTGGCTTTGGCCTCAGGCCCTTCCCGACACCCTCCTGTCCCCGCCCTCCTGTCCCCCCGCCCTCCTGTCCCCGCCATACCCAGCAAGCCAGGCTCTAGGATGGGCCCATCATGACTATCCTTCTGCAGTCTTCAGACCTAGGCCAGATTTGGGGTAAGGGGCCACTCTAACCAGAAGATTTCTAGGGTTAACGGGATGAAGAGGCAACACGTTGCCCTAAACCTTTCCCCAGGTGTGAGGGAGATGCCCGGTTTCAGCAAGACCTGCCTGCCAAGGTCTGGGGTCACAGGAAGTAGGCCTGGTCTGCCCTGATGATGCCATCTCCCTGTCTACCTTTAAACCTAGTATCTACCTAACAGCCCAGGTTAGCCCTTTCCCACAGGACCCCAACCGGCCAGCTGCCATTTCCTGGTCATGAAGAGGAACTGGGAAAAACAGACTCACATTTCCCGGGCATTCTCTGTCACCAGGTCAGGAGGCCTGGGGACAATGGAATGGAAACTGCAAGGCCTCACATCCCAGGGTCCCCAGAGGAGCCCAGAGGTCTGGCCTGAGCTGTTCAGAAGAACCCCTGGCTAGTCTGATTCTTAGTCCAGCTGAAACGTGTTCTATGGGATCTAGAACACCCAGGGCAAAAGGCAGCACATCTGCGACACTTGTGCTTCTTCAAGTACTTTAGTGGGTCCAGACCTCCTCTTTTCCTGCTCATTCATTTATATTTGTACATGAGAAAGGGGGTTGGACAGAGTGGGGTATCTGAGGACTTTTCTAGGTCTTCTGACCTGCTCAGGCTCCTTCTACAGTGAGAAGGCTGTTCAGGAGTTAAGAAACCACTGATTTCTACTTTTCAAAGAGGGAAATGGAAACAGGCACAAGGCGCTGGGGACTCCATGGCAAGGAAAACAGAGGGAGCCTCCGGACCACACTGGTGCTTTCTGCCGATCTGCTTCTTATCCATTCACCTGACTCCACCAAATTAACAGAACTTCCAAATCTCAAATACATTCCTGCCTTCTCAGTGCTGTCAGCAGAGTCCTGACCAACGCTAGCCCTTCCCCACAGAGCCGGAGTCTTTGGGCTTTGGGAGCAGCTGGTCTCAATGGGCTTACTGACTTCTCTTCGCTCAAAATCACAGCAGAGAAGGGTGGCAAAAAGGGGCACAATGCAGTGCCACCAGCCTCCGGGGGCTTGGAAGGCAGGACTCACTGATGCCAGGCCAAGGGCCGGGGTGCCTCCCTCCCCTCCGGATCCCGTCAAACTGCTTTGCCTCTCTCTCAGGGCCTGTGCTGGGGTGAGGAGATTACCTACTATCACACTCACCTTCACCTTTCTGATTCTGGCCCATTTGGCCAGAATCCAGGTTCTACTCCATGTCAGCAGACAACCCAACACTCTACTGAGTGTAAGTTTAAATGAAACTGAGAAGAGGGCACTCAAAAAATGACCAGTTCTTCAAAAGAAGCACTTTTTTTGCCAAGCAGCAGTGATGGAAAGGAAAAGCTGCCTGGGACAGATGGAGAGGTAACAGCAGAGTCTAAGCAGCAGGAACCTCGCCTTTTCTGTCTCTCTATTCACAGGATGGGGATGAGGGGCAGAAACATCTGAGTGGACCTGGGGGTCTCTGGTTCTAATGCTGGCTCTGGAAAGATGCTCCAGGGAGGCGACTGCCAAGTCACAGAACCAGCGTTCACAGGCAGTGCTCAGGATGAAGCTGCCGCTGGGGAACCGTAATGTCAAGTGGGCCCAAGAAACAGTGGGTCTCTCACCCAAGCTGGGCACAGGATAAAACCTGGGAGGAGCCAGTGAGGAAAGAACATGTTTGTGAATCAAGATTTCAATTTTCTTTAAAGTTTCTTTCAAAGGTTGGTTGCTGTCAAGTTTGAGTTAATTTAAAGGTGGTTTTTAAATACAGAAATATTAAAGAGAAGTCTAAGTTCATGCTTGTAAAATTGGGTTGAGCATAAGCCAGAGACCACAAAACACAGCCAAAAAGCCTTAGGGGCGCAGGAGCCTCCATGCCTGGGCCCTGCCCTCAGGCCATTCAGAAGCCACGTGCCAAGCCGGGCGCGGTGGCTCACGCCTGTAATCCCAGCACTTTGAGAGACTGAGGCGGGTGGATCGCTCGAGGTCAGGAGTTTGAGACCAGCCTGGCCGACACGGTGAAACTCCATTTCTACTAAAAACACAAAATTCGACAGGCATGGTGGCATATGCCTGCAATCCCAGCTACTCAGGAGGCTGAGGCAGGAGAATCGCTTGAACCCAGGAGGCGGAGGTCACAGTAAGCCCAGGTCGCGCCATTGCACTCCAGCCTGGGTGACAGAGCGAGACTCCGTCTCAAAAAAACAAAAACAAAAACAAAATCAAAAACAAAAAACAAGAAAAAGATGCTGCGTGCCCACAGCGGAGATGGTGACCACACGGAAGAGCTTCATCTGAAGTGCCGAAACTATGGGAATGAAGGTCAAATAGCCCCTTCCCCAAGACATTTATTGCACGTATTAATGGGAAATGCTCATGTTCAGTCTCTCCCCGATTCTGGAAAATACATCCACCTAACAATCAGGCTCTCCCTGCGCATCCGTGTGCACCACGCATGGGGCGATGAGCTGAGGCCATCCTGAGAAGCCTGCCCTCCCCTTAGGAGAAACAGCCTGCTTCTGACTCCATGCCACACTGCCTGAAATTGTACCCTAAAAAGGGATTCCCAGCTACTCAGGAGGCTGAGGCGGGAGAATCACTTAAACTCAGGAGTTCGAGGCCAGCCTGGGCAACACAGTGAGACCCCCATCTCTAGAAAAAAAAATAAAAATAGATTCCTTTGGATCAAGAAATCTACTCACCCTGCCTCCTTTAGAAAGCAGACTCCAGGGAGAGAACATCTGACACATCTTACTGTAGGTTATGTCGGCTCAGAGGAGTTACAGGAAATGTGACTAACGGAGAAGGAAAGGACGATTTTGGACCACACGGCACTGCCATGGGCGGAGCCCCAGGTGAGGTTCTGTCAGTGGTACCCCGGGAGACACAAAGGCTCCTGGAGAAGGGGCCAGAAAGGGGAACTGGCAAAGAAGGTAGCAAACTGCCTCCTGGGCCGCTCCGCCCGGCTCCGTGTTAGCTCCTCTCTGCACACCCTCATTACACAGACACAGACGGCACACCAGGAAAACAGGAACCCAGAACCCAAAGGGGTCTCCATGGCCTCTCCCAAGCCACACGCGTTGCCAGGTGGTGCCAAAGTCCCAGACTTTGTCCAGAGAGTGAAGAAATCATCCTAATATTAGGTGTTAGATCCTTCTTTCTTCAAATGGAACATCTAAAGAGTTGGCTTCTGATATCCTTGAGCCCCAAAACGCCACTCATCCCACCCTCCCCACTCTCCTACAACCCAGGTCAGGCTGGGAGCCTTTTCCATAGGAGGTGATATGGGCAAATCTTGAGGACCCTGCAGTTCCCCTCCGAGATTATCTTGTTCAGCCTTTCCTCAACCCAGAGGTGCCAGGAACACCTTGGGACCCTCAGAAGAAAGACATCACAGAGAGAGAAGGCAACTCTGGAAAACGTCCAGCAGACAGGACCGTGGAAGCCCAACACAAGCTCCTCAAGAACAAAGGAGGTAAGAAGCTGCTACAGGGACCACACTTGCCCGCTGGGACTGCTGATGCCACAGGCCCGCCTCCTGCCAGCCTTGCATCCTGCTTCCTACCCTTTGCTGCCCCCCCGCCCACCCCTCATGGTGTCTCCACCCCAGCTCCATTACAAGGGCTCAGCATTCATTAATGGTAGAAACACAGACAAATGGGAGATGAGCAAGAGACTGAGAGACACAGCAGGGACACGGGCGGGGAGCAGGGGCAGTGCTGGGGAGGAGAGAGCCATCCCCCTCTCAGCTTCCTTCCGCAGGCGAGTAGAGTCCTTAGCTTCCTCTCACCAACCAAGTCTCCATCCAGCTCCCTCCTCTGGGGAGGACATGCACCCCCTGTGGAAGCCCTTCACTCAAAACACCAAGCAGGAGCTTCTAAGCCCCTTCCCCCTGGCTTCTCTCGAGAGACACCCCACGATTCTCTGCCCCTGCTGACATAAGAGAAGACGAAGAGGGCGCAGGTGAGACGCTGATTGGTGAGATCTCCCTCAGGGAAGACGAGGAGGAGGTAGGAGGGCCAAGAAGGACCAGAGAGTCTCCACCTTGGCTTAGCCTGGGAGGCGCTGCCATCCAAGGTGACATTTTCTCAGAGATCCCAGCCAGATCTCCATGTGGTCGGGTGGGCGTGAAGTGAGCCCCTCCTCAGACCCCATCCCCTAGAGGGGCTCCGGCTCTTAGAATTCAGTATACACACAGATCGGGAAACTTCATTTCGTAGACGGGGATGGAGTGGTTCTGCGGCTGACCGTAGGCTGCCGTGATGGTTCCCGATGGGCTTGGTGGGGGCCTAGGCGGCAGGAACACATGGGGAGAAAGGCATGAAAAGAGAATTTCAGGATCCCACCTTTGTGCAACCAAACAGAGTAGGTGACTTGGGTTTCTTTTTGCACAGGGACCAGTGACCCCTTCATTCCACAGGTTCCCAGGATTCCAGATTTTACTAGAATCTACAGCTTGGAGTCAAGCTTCTCTGCAGGCTCCGCAGTGACACTGCTGCTTTAGAAAGTGCCAGCCTGGGACACTAGGACTCTTGGGTCTTTCCAGGTTTCATTGAGGCGGGCTCTTTCCCTCTCTGGTCTCTATTTCCTTGTATAGGGAGGGTTAGAGTTGGTGGCCGCCTCCAGCCCAGGGGATAGAGATTGCGGTGGGGTAGGAGGAGTGGGGGAGGGGAGGAGGGAAGACAGGGGTGAGAGAAGGACTCAGGATGAGGAACCCCAATACTGGGTCACAGAGGTCAGGGTCCCCTGCCCAGGGTTGCCACTTACCGGATGGTGATTTCAAAGATCTGATTGAGTTTGCTCTGGAGCAGCGATGCCTAGACACAAACAGGGGGAAGTGAGCTGGCAGGGGTGGGGGGCTCAGAACCTTTGCCAGCTGGCTCAGGGTGTCCAGAGTATACGCTGGAGGTACAGGGCAGCCACAGCCTTAGGAAGGCAGGCAGAGGTGAACACGCTCCAGCACTTATCCACTGGACCCTGACTGCAGATTCGGATCAGGGACAGCCACCTACTGAAGGCTGGCTGGGGATAGGACAGAGGCTCCGAATCACCAGGGAGGATGTCAGCAGGCAGCTCTGGAAGGTCCTTCTCCTTAAGATGGGGCAGTAAGGGCTGCTGGGCATGGAGTCGGGAGACTGCCCTAGTGCCAGCTCTTTTCTTTCTTTTCTTTAATTTAATTTAATTTTTTTTTTTTAATTGAGAAGGAGTCTTGCTCTGTCACCCAGGCTGGAGTGCAGTGGCATGACTTCAGCTCACTGCAACCTCTGCCTCCTGGGTTCAAGCAAGTCTCCCAACTCCCCCTGAGTGACTGGGATTACAGGCGCCTGCCACCACGCCCGGCTAATTTTTGTATTTTTAGTAGAAATGGGGTTTTGCTATTTTGGCCAGGCCAGTCTTGAACTCCTGATCTCAGGTGATCCGTCTGCTTCAGCCTCCCAAAGTGCTGGGAGTACAAGCATGGGCCACTGTGCCCAGCCTATGCCAGCTCTTTTCTAACTTGCAAGGGGCAGCGCTGCAAAACTGGTGGCTTAGAGATGATCTCTGATTACTTCTGGCTGTAATGAGGTCAATGAGTGCAGAGTGGGACTGCACGTGTTCCGTGACTGGGCCCTAATTCCTAGCTCATGAAATGGGCATCCCTCTCAAAGTGGGACGAGAGGTTAGGACAACCCAGGCCCGTGAAAATCTATATGTTATATATATACTTATATATGAATATTATATATAAAATATATAAAACAGAAAATTATACGTATTATATTTTGTTGGGAGAATAGGTTATTTGTAGATTTTGAATGTTTACAGTTATGTTTCATTGTTACTAAGCTTGACATTCGGGGCTAATAAATCCCGGCGTAGAATCAATTTCAGGACTGTCTGAGCTCCTCCCTCCAGTCTAGACATGGCTCCTCGTTTCTACGTGTCCAGCTGCCTCTCTCTCTGGTCTCTTTGCCAAGGCCTGGCTGTTCCATCCCCCTGCTAAGGTACCCTGGTTGGAAGAGGGTCCTGCTGCCAACATTGACCATCTTCCTTTGCCACACACCCCTCCCCCATCACTCCATAACGTGGGGATCATAATGGCACCAACTTCATGGAGTTATCATGAGAATGAAAGTGGCTCATGAATAGAAGAAGCTGTTGTCCGCAGTGAGTGCTGTTCGTGTGCCTGCTGTCAGGACCACAGTGAGCATGATCTGACTGCCAGACAGGTGCCTCAGCTCAGGACTTCTTCTTTAAGTGAAAAGTGTGAGATCTCAGAGAGACCCAAGACAAACACCCAAGTCTTTTGGTTCATAGGGGAGCAATGCAGCATTGGGGCGTTGGGGAAAGCCTGGCGGGGCAACAGCAGAGCTCCCTGCGTTGGAATACAAGCCCTAATGTCTGGCAGGGGGTGGAGGTGGGGTGGTCAAAGAGCCAAGATCTCCTAGGAACTTAATCCTGTCCTGGACCCAAATTCAGTTTTGACTCGGCTCCCTAGGACTCACCCATGTCACGCTTCACTTACCCGGGCCCCGCAGTGTGCGGCAATCTCCTCGAAGGGTGCCTTCTGGAACTTCTCCACCACCTGCCGCCGCCGCTCACGCTCCTGCTCCTCCACTGCTACGCTGTCCACTGCGATGCAGAGAGCTGGGTTAGTGCCAGGCCCTGCTCACTGAGGGGAAGGGGAGGGACTCCTCCGGGGAGCACTGTCCATGAGCATTGCTTGGGCTCTCCCCTCGTCTGAAGAGTAGGGGACAGTGGCGTAGAGGTGTGGGGCCCTCACTCAGCCCTGGAAGGCAGGACCACTTCCTGATTCTGTCTGAGGGCTCAGCCTTCTTCTTCATGTAAGAATTTGAGAACTATATGGGAGGACCTTTCAGTGGGGCTCTTTAGCCCCAAGTAGCTGCTCTCCCACCAGGACTCTTAAATTGAAGGTCCTGAAAAGTTGGTCCTTTGAGTACTCTGTGGGTGTTTTGTAAAGGGACATCGAGGCTGGGTGTGGTGGCTCACACTTGTAATCCCAGCATTTTGGGAGGCCGAGGTGGGAGGATACCTTGAGGTCAGGAGTTTGAGACCAGCCTGGCCATCATGGTGAAAGCCCCTCTCTAATAAAAATATAAAAATTAGCCAGGCGTGGTGGCACATGCCTGTAGTCTCAGCTACTTGGGAGGCTGAGGCAGGAGGATTGCTTGAACCGGGGAGGTAGAAGTTGCAGTGAGCCAAGATTGCGCCATTGCACTCTAGCCTGGTGACAGAACGAGACTCCATCTCAAAAATAAATAAACAAAAAAAGAAAAGGGACATTGACAATGGTAAAGCCGCACAGACCACGAAAGTCAACACGGAACACCTGTGGCAGGGCAGCCCGAGGCCATTTAGTTTAAGGCTTCTACACATGCTGCTTGGTATCCAAGATGAGTTAGCACCAAGAAGAAAAACGGGTGTGTGTCACACATGTCCATCATACTGTTGGGTTTTTTTAAAATAGAGATGAGGTCTCACTATGTTGCCCAGGCTGGTCTCAAACTTCTGGGCTCAAAGGATCCTCCTACCTTGGCCTCCCAAAGTGCTGGGATTACAGGTGTGAGCCACTATGCCTGGCCCAGACTCAGTTTAAGAAGGCAAGAAATGGCCAGGTGCAGTGGGTTATGCCTGTAATCCCAGCACTTTGGGAGGCTAAGGAGGGCTGACTACCTAAGGTCAGGAGTTTGAGACCAGCCTGGCCAACATGGTGAAACCCTGTTTCTACTAAAAATACAAAAATCAGCCAGGTGTGGTGGCAGGCGCCTGTAATCCCAGTTACTTGGGAGGCTGAGGCAGGAGAATTGCTTGAATCCGGGAGGCGGAGGTTGTAGTGAGCCAAGATGGTGTCACTGCATTCCAACCTGGGTGACAGGGCAAGACTATCTCAGAAAAAAAAAAAAAAGGGGCAAGAAATGTGTACATTCAGAGAGACCACCATTAATGATGACAAAAAGTTAAAAGTTTGGCATTTACAGGCATAATTTGTCAACAGTTAGAAAAAATCTGTTGTTGTCCAATGATCCAGATAGAGGGGTAACAATGCATTTTAAAATCATCTGCCCTTATTAAATAGACATTCATATGATTCATTCTTAATATCTTCCATTGGCCAGCTTGTTCTTTTGTATCACAATTCACCAAAAAAAAAAAAAAAAAAATTTACTCTGAATTGCTTTCTACCTACAGCCGTCAACTGATGACCTTTTTTTTTTTTTTTTTTTTTTTTTTTTTTTTTTTTTTTTTTTTTGAGATGGAATCTTGCTCTGTCGCCCAGGCTGGAGTGCAGCGGTGCAATCTCAGCTCACTGCAACCTCCGCCTCCTAGGTTCAAGCAATTCTCCTGCCTCAGCCTCCCGAGTAGCTGTGATTACAGGTGCATGCCACCATGCCTGGCTAATTTTTGCATTTTTTCAGTAGAGACAGGGTTTTACCATGTTAGCCAGGCTGGTCTCCAACTCCTGACTTTGAGATCTGCCCACCTCGGCCTCCCAAAGTGCTGGGATTATAGGCGTGAGCCACTGCGCCCGGCCAACTGATTACTTTTAAAGTCAGCTGTCCTTAGTGGCAAAAGCATAGCCCACTGTGGGCCACACAGGGCCCCACTACTGACCCCCGTCAGGAGAGGAGGGACATTCAGTGGCAGCTTTGGTGGCTGTGATGAGTTGGTCAAAAGCCACCAGCCTCTCCCTTCATGCAGGTGCTGGATCCCACTGCGGAGGGTGGTAGGTCCTGCTGCATCTGTAGGAACAGGCCCAAAGACCCCACCCCATTTTGCCTTCTAACCAGAGTCCCTTGGCCTGACTTACCAATGGCTTTCTTCAGTGTCTCATAGGTGATCTCCTCGGCAGGCACTCGCTGAAGGAGAAGGGACAGAGGTGCTCAGAAAGTCAGGGGGCAGAGAAAGGAGGCAGCCCTGGCACCCTCAGCTCTCTGGCAGCCCCTTGCTTCTTAGAAGAAAGTCCCAATGGGCAGGAAGTCCCTCAGGATACCCCCAGCCCCATCAGGGTCTCGGAAGCTCCCTAAGCAGGCACAGAGGACAGCGAGATGCAGCGGGGAAGCTCATTCCTCATCAGATTCAGACTCAGAACAGAGCCCTGAGTCTCATGTAAAAGAACGCACTGTCCCCTGCCTCCTCCCCAAGCCTGTCCATCAAGCACCATGAGAGGAAAATACTGCTATTTTATTTTATCTTATCTTATCTTATTTTATTTTATTTTAGACAGAGTCTTACTCTGTTGCCCAGGCTGGAGTGTAGTGGTGCGATCACGGCTCACTGCAACCTCTGCCTCCTGGGTTCAAGTGATTCTCCTGCCTCAGCCTCCCAAGTAGCTGGGATTACAGGTGTGCACCACCACGCCTGGCTAATTTTTATATTTTTAGTAGAGACAGGTTTTACCATGTTGGTCAGGCTTGTCCCGAACTCCTGAACTCATGATCTGCCCGCCTCGGCCTCCCAAAGTGCTGGGAATATAGGTGTGAGCCACCATGCCCAGCCAATACTGTAATTTTAAAATATCTTCAGAGAACACAACAGAAAACATTGGAAGCAAGAGGAGAGAGGTGGTGAACATAACTTCAGATGTAAATTTCAAGAACTGAATATCAGTTCTGAAGTCTTAAAGTATTAAATTACCCACCAACGTGACTTGAGCATTTAATAAAGATAAGAAATGGAAGGTTAGAAGTGACAGGCCGGATGCAGTGGCTCACGCTTGTAATCCCAGCACTTTGGGAGGCCGAGGCGGGCAGATCACTTGAGGTCAGGAGTTCGAGACCAGTCTGGTCAACATAGTGAACCCCGTCTCTACTAAAAGTGCAAAAATTAGCCAGGCATCGTGGTACACGCCTGTAATCCCAGCTACCTGGGGAGTCTGAGGCAAGAGAATCGCTTGAAACTGGGAGGTGGAGATAGCGGTGAGCTGAGATCACACCACTGCACTCCAGCCTGGAAAACAGAAGGAGACTCTGTCTTAAAAAAAAAAAAAGAGGTGACCGGGCCCCCACAGACTGCTGAGGTTCCAAGGAGTTGCCCCACTCAGTCGTCTGCAAAGCCTACAAAAGGAGATGGAAAATAATAACACTCAAAGAAGGGAGCTCCACAGATGCTGAAAATAGTGAAGGAATTTGGACTAAATTCCAGAAATTACTCACTAGACAATGAACTATTAGACCTATGATTTACCCATGCTTTATCTTTTTTTTTTTTTTTTTGAGATGGAGTTTTGCTCTCATCACCCAGGCTGGAGTGTAATGGCACGATCTCGGCTCACTACAACCTCCACCTCCCAGTTGGTTTGAAGTGATTTTCCTGCCTCAGCCTCCCCAGTAGCTGGGTTACAGGTGGCCGCCACCAGGCCTGGCCAAGTTTTTGTATTTTTAGTAAAGACGGGGTTTCACCATGTTGATCAGGCTGGTCTTGAACTCCTGACCTCAGGTGATCCTCCTGCCTCAGCCTCCCAAAGTTCTGAGATTACAGGCGTGAGCCACCGTGCCCAGCCTGATGCTCTATCATTTAAACTTAATCTTAAGCAAAAGCAGCAGACACAGAATGATTTCAATGATATAAAGTTCCAGAAGTAACGCAACTCAGGCTAGGAGCTCCCTTAGGGGAGGGGACACGGGGCAGGGCCCCTGGGCAATGACAGTGTTCCACTCTCTCATCCGGGAGTGATTGCATGGGCATATACACTTTACGAAAATTCACTGAGTTGTGCACTTTTTGATTTGTTTGGCATTTTTGTTTGAGTAGGAGAGGACAGAAGAATAGGTATGATATAAAGTCATTTAACAAACATTAAGTGAGTACCAACTACATACAGGACTGTAGGTGAGTCTATAGAAACTGCACAATTTGTTAGCATAGGAATTACATGCAAGAGAGAGCTGTGCTCAGCTTTAACTCGCTCTGAGGACTTATCCTCTGTACGTCCATCCATTCATCCACTGTCAGCACTGAGCAACATTGAATATTCACCTGCAGGGTGCTAGGGAACTGTGTGGTGGCAACAGTCAAAGAAAAGGCCGCTCTCTGGGCAAGAGAGAAGGGATGCTCCCTGGACAAGAGCGGGGGAGAGAAGTTTATGGAGGAAACCGAACAGGGGCCGGGCACCGGAGAACAGACAGTTCACAGGTCCTCAGCTGCACCAGTGTGGAGGGGAAGGGTGGTTCAGATGTGGCATTCTACACTAGCAAAGGCCTGCAGATGGCTGAGCACAGCACGGGAGAGACCGAGAGCAGCCCTGCCAGAGTGGGACAGTGGATACAGGCCAGAGCAGGTGGGGGAAAATGAAATGGCAGAGCCCAGACTATGCAGGGCTGGGAATGCCAGGCACCAGGATTCAGATTTGACCAAACCAGCATTTATTCACCCCTGCAGCAAGCCTGGGCAGTACAGTCCTAGGAACCACCATGGGACTCTGGACTAGCACTGATGGCTGAGAGTGGAGAGAGCTGTGGCATGGCAGAAGGGCACAGGATGAAGGCCCCTGCACACCTGCTTTGCCACCAAGCCACCTCTGCGCTAAGCTGACTCTCGAAGGGAGGAAGGAACTGATACTGGTGGCCCAGGAGGCCACGAGTGGAGGTGGCTCTGTAGCTGCGTAAGCATTTTGCCTCCGGCTTCTGTGTCAGTTCACTCCTCAATTGCCGAGTCTCTTACCTCTTAGGAAGGGAGAATCGCCACTATGGGGAGAGAGCAGCCAGCTCATCCCGATGCCTAATGCATTGGAGGTTCCCAGTCCTTGGAGCTGGAAGGGCCATGGAGGATGCCTCATTCAACCTCATTTTACTTGTCTAATTAGCCCAAGTCACAGCTTCCTTCTGTGGGAAGGTTCTAGATAAGCTTTGAGGGCCCTGATGTGGAGATCTGCCCTAATAAATGAAGTGGTCAAGGGCACCGTTAGGGGGAGGCTTGATCCTGACCCCTTGAGACTTCTCTACCTCTGATTGCATCTGGGGAAAGGCTTGATGTCAAAGCTGTCCTCCATGTCTATATTAGCCCTAATGGGCATAGAAGCTCGGGAATGACAGCCTGTCCATGCCCAAGGACCATGTAAGTCTTTCTGTCCCGGTCCCATCCAGATGTGTGTCCTCTATACTCCTTGTGAACTGGGACAGTCAGCATTAAAAAAAAAAAAAAAAAAAAAAAGGCGGGGTGTGGTGGCTCACGGCTGTAATCCCAGCACTATGAGGTGGCCGAGGTGGGCAGATCACTTGAGCCCAGGAGTTTGAGACCAGCCTGAGCAACATGGCGAAACCCCATCTCTACAAAAAATACAAACATTAGCTGGGCATGGTGGTGCGTGTCTGTAGTCCCAGCTACTCGGGAGGTTCAGGTGGGAGGATCGCTTGAGGAGGTGGAGGTTGCAGTGAACTGAAGTCAAGCCACTGCACCCCAGCCAAGGTGACAGAGTGAGACCCTGTCTCAAAAAAAAAAAAAAAAAAAGGCATATTGCATCTGTGGCTTCAGTTCCCTCACGTCTCCTTCCTCCTCCCCTCTGCCCTCCACCTCCATTTCTTTCTCGTTTGGGAGAGTAAACTTTGTATTTCTACTATGATTCCTTATTCTTCCCTACTCATGGGTACATCTGCTTCATTCACTGAGGTAGAAGAAATGAGATAATGGCAGGGGAGATATCACATGTAAATTTGAACAAAAATTCAATGTTTACAGTCCTCAAGAGAGGAGAGAAGAAGAGAGGTCTTTAAGGCACTGTGGCAGCTTTCTCTTAAAAAAAAGAATCTTGGGGTCAGGCACGGTGGATCACGCCTGTAATCCCAGCACTTTGGGAGGCCGAGGCGGGCGGATCACAAGGTCAGGAGATAGAGGTCATCCTGGCTAACACGGTGAAACCCCGTCTCTACTAAAAATACAAAAACTAGCCAGGCATGGTGGCATATGTCTGTAGTCCCAGCTACTCGGGAGACTCAGGCAGGAGAATTGCTTGAAACCGGGAGGTAGAGTTTGCAGTGAGCTGAGATCATGCCACTGCACTCCAGCCTGGGCAACAGAGCGAGACTCCATCTCAAAAAAAAAAAAAAAAAAAAATCTTGGCTGTCAGTGGTTAGGGGAGAGATGAAGAGGTGGAACACAGAGGGGTTTTAGGGCAGGAAACGACTCTGCATGGTACTCTAGTGGGGGATGCATGCCATTATGCATTTGTCCAAACCCACAGAATGTACAACGCTGAGAGTGAACCCCAGTGTAAACGATGGACTTCAGATGATAACGTTGCGTTAAGGCAGGCAGAACTGTAAGAAATGTACCACTCTGCTGGGGGATGTGGATAGGAGGGGAGGCTGTGCATGTGTCGGGGGAGGGGAGGGGGCAAAGGGCGATCTCTGTACCTTCCTCTCAATTTTGCTATAACCTAAAATTGCTTTAAAAATAGTCTAAATTTAAAAAAAGAAAAAAAGATTCTTTATTGATACATACGGAAGCAACACTATGAAAGCTGTTCTCACCCTTATCTCTCCAGTTAAGTCTTCGAGTTTCCAACCCAGAGCATGTCGGTCCCCCTGTGAGTGGGGAATGATGACCAGCATGCCTTTCTTTTTAATTTTTTGAGACAAGGTCTCACTCTGTCACCTAGGCGGAAGTGCCGCGGTGCCATCATGGCTTACTGCAGCCTCGACCTCCCAGGCTCAGGTGATTCTCCCACCTCAGCATCCTGAGTACCTGGGACCACAGGTGCACGTCACCATGCCTGGCTGATTTTTCAAATTATTTTTTGTAGAGATGGGGTCTTCTTATGTTGCCCCAGATCATCTCGAACTCCTGGGCTTAAGCAATCCTCCTGCCTCAGCCTCCAAAATGTTGGGATCACAGGTGTGAGCCACCATCCCCAGCCAGGCCTTTCAAGAGTGAGTTTTATGATATCCTCATGGGAGCAGGGAGGACCCTAAAAATTTTTCCAAAGGGAAATATCTATGACACATACATGGGGAGAGTCAGTACGAGTATGGAATTACTGGAGAAACTTGCTTTCCATGCAGCCTTAAGCACACTGTGTGGGCAGGGGAGCCTGGAGTCCAGCATCCAATCTACAGGAGGTGGGGCTGCCCCAGGACGGTGGCAGAGACACTCACCTCCTCCTTCTCTGGGCTGTTCCTCGATTCTACCTCCACCTGCAGGGAGATGGTCTCTCCAATGCTCCTCCTCTTGGATAATCGATCCTCATCTGGGGAAGAAGCAGCCTGGAGGCTTTAGTTCCCAGCCCTCGGAGATCCAGGACTGAGCCGCTAGTCCCACCTCCCAACCCCTCTGCCTCTGCTTGGTCCACAGTCCTCTAAGGCTCAGTGCACACTCAGGCTACACCTGGCGTTTCCAGAAGCTTCCAATTGCTGTGGGCCTTCTCTGTCCATCTTAGGGTGGTCAGTTTTGCTCTTTGGGGCTAAAATTTTGAAATTGTCAATGAGAACACAAAGAAGGTGCTTATGACCAGAATACATATCTCACCTTATATGTAAGCATCATCTGCTAAGAGCACCAGTAGCTCTTCATGAAGCATTTCATGAAGTATTTACTAAGCGCATTTGCATTAATACAGGTACCTTATCATGCCAGCCCTCTAAGGCAGCTATTTTTTTTTTTTTTTGGAGACGCAGTCTTGCTCTGTTGCCCAGGCTGGTGTGCAACGGCGCGATCTTGGCTCACTGCAATCTCCACCTCCCGGGTTCGAGCAATTCTCCTGTTTCAGCCTCCAGAGTAGCTAGGACTACAGGCACACACCACCACGCCCAGCTAACTTTTTTTTGTATTTTTAGTAGAGACGGGCTTTCACTGTGTTACCCAGGCTGGTCTTGAACCCTGGAACTCAGGCAGTCCATCCGCCTCGGCCTCCCAAAGTGCTAGGATTACAGGCGTGAGCCACTGCCCCCAGCGGGCAGCTATTGTTAACATTCTGTTTTACAGTCAAGGAAACTGAAATTCAGGGACGCAAAGCACTTGTCTAAGATCTTTCAGGCAGTGAGTTGCACAGGGGACTCGAACTGGGTCTCTGGTTCTGTAGCCATGTATGCTCTTTCCAGCACAATGGAGCCTCTCCCATCCTCAGGCCGGGCCATCTCATGGGCCGGGTACTTTCAAGGACCCTGCCCTGAGGAGGAGAGATGGGGCAATCAAGAGGACCTCACCATAAATTTCCACTGTGTCTTTCAGCTCTCACGATATCCAAGGTGCCTCACAGGCAATCAAAGGGCCATAAGTCCCTTACGCTCAGGCCCTTACCTGGCCAAGGAAAGACAGAGGCAGGCCCAGGCATCCCTGCACAGAGCTCATACCTGTCAGTTGAGGGATGTAGGGCAGGCAAAGCCGGTCTGAATTGTAGCCGCTGCCTCCCAGGACTTCACTAATCTTGCTCTGGCGGAAGAGGAGCTCAATCACCACCCCATCAAGATTCTGAGACAGCCTGGAAATGAAGGAGGGAGGAAGATCGTTAGAACGGCGGTATCTAGAATGACTTCTGAATAACTGTTTTTGTTTTTGTTTTTTAGACAGGGTTTTGCTCTCGTTTCCCAGGCTGGAGTGTGGTGGAGCGATCTCGGCTCATTGCAACCTCCGCCTTCCAGGTTCAAGCGATTCTCCTGCCTCAGCCTCCCGAGTAGCTGGGAGTAAAGGTGCCCACCACCACGCCCAGCTAATTTTTTGTATTTTTAGTAGAGACGGGGTTTCATCATGTTGGCCAGGCTGGTCTTGAACTTCTGACATCAGGTGATCCACCCTCCTCAGCCTCCCAAAATGCTAGGATTACAGGCGTGAGCCACCATGCCCAGCCAACTTTTCTTATTACAAAAGTAACATCTTCACTATGCAAGATGACAGAGAAGCAAAAGGAAAAGGGTCACCCCCAGTCCCATTTCCAGAGATAACCACTATTCACGTTATAAAATATTCTTATGTACAGCAATCACATCCCTCAGTCACTTTTTTTTTTTGTTTTAAGACAGGGTCCTCACTGTGTTGCCCAGGCTGGAGTGCAGTGGCTATTCACAGGTGCCATCACAGCGCACTACAGCCTTGACCCGCTGGGCTACAGTGATCTTCCTGCTCAGCCTTCCAACAGGTATGCTCCACCACACCCAGCTAATTTTATTTATTTATTAATTATTATTATTTCTTAGACCAAGTCTCCCCCTGTCGCCCAGGCCGGAGTGCAGTAGCATGATCTCAGCTCACCGCAACCTTTGCCTCCCAGATTCAAGTAGATTCTCCTGCCTAAGCCTCCTGAATAGAGTAGCTGGGACTACAGGTGTGCACCACCACAACCGGCTAATTTTTGTATTTTTAGAAGATACAGGTTTTTATCATGTTGGCCAGGATGGTTTCGAACTTCTGACCTCAAGTGATCTGCTCACCTCAGCCTCCCAAAGTGCTGGGATTACAGGCATGAGCCACTGTGCCCAGCCCAGGCAAATTGTTTAAAAATTTTTCGTAGATGGGTTCTCGCTTTGTGGCCCATGGTTGTCTCGAAACCATGGGCTCAAGAGATCCTCCTGCTCAGTCTTCTGAGTTGCTGGGCCTGTAGGCGTGAGCCACCGCACCCAGCTTAGTCCCGTATTTTTACATACACACATAGATATCCCCTTCCACACCCGCTGTTCTGTGATCTATTTTATTGACCTATTATGTAGTGGGTACTTTACATTAAATATTCTTCTAAATGAATGTCATGATTGTCTATTATATGGATGGGCCATACTTTATAAGTCATCTCCTACTGTTAGACATTTTGGGTTTGCAAAACATATTTCCCTTGAGTTCCTCTGATGTTGAAATGACACTCGAAAACATCACTTGGATTGATAGGAACGTCTTGTCAGGAATGACTCCTCCAGGATGCATTTAGCATGGGCTTGGCCAAAGCCCCTGGAGGCTGTGTCTCACCTGCAAACACGGCTCAGCATGGCATGCTCGAGGCATGGACTGCAGTAATGTGATGGGGTTTAACTTTACCCAGGACTCCTGGACCACAGACAGAGCCCACCTTCTGCCCTTGAGTCCACAGATGCCCGAGCCTCCTGGCATTGACCCCTCCTGACCTCAGACCACCCGCCTGCTTACTTAGCTGCCCTGGGGATCCCTGACCACATCCCCCGTCCTCTCCTCACCTGGGCCTCTCCACAAACACATCCTCAGGGAGCATGTATGGAGCCTCTTTCTTCCTGGTCTCTATCACCTGGTGGTTGGGAGGAATCAGATGATAAGAGCTGGTTCAGCAGGGAGAGGGAGCTCACAGGCAATGAAAGAGCTCCCGACTTGGCACTTCCTCCCTCCCGCAGCCTCCTCAGCACAGTGTCCTCAGCTGAGCTTCTTCAGTGGAAATTCCCATCAACAGGGACCCTCAGGGCAGCTGGAGAAGCTCAAGCTGCCTGCTCAGGCCATGGCCATCAATGACACATGTGCACTAAGTGTCCTCCAGTGCAGGGAACTTAACTCTTAAGAGACTGCAGCTGCTGGCTCTGGTGCCTCATTCCTCATTCCTATGCCCCCCTTTTTTTTTTTGAGACACAGTCTTGCTCTCTTTTCTAGGCTGGAGAGGAGTGGCACAATCTTGGATCATGGCAGCCTCCACCTGCCAGTTTCAAGCAATTCTCCTGCCTCAGCCTCCTGAGTAACTGAGATTGCAGGTGCATGCCAGCACGCCTGGCAAATTTTTGTATTTTTAGTAGAGACGGGGTTTCACCATGTTGCCCAGGCTGGTCTTGAACTCCTGACCCCAAGTGATCCACCTGCCTTGGCCTCCCAAAGTGTTGGGATTAAGGCTGAATCACTGCACCTGGCCTCATTCCTGTGTTTTTTATTTAAACAGGTACAAAGGAATGTAGCTAATACCATGTCCCAAACCTCGGTACTGCAGTACCCAAGTGCATTGCAAAAACACCCTGATGTACAGTGACATCTTGAGCTTTACTCAGTATTCTTTGCAAATTTTTGACAAGAAAAGTGAAAGTTACTAAGTGGTGAGAAGTGGAGGGATGGTCAGCATACAGGTGTGTGGGGTGGGTGAGGAGGTAAAGGTCCCACAATTGTCAGGTGGAGGATGTCTGGGCATTGCCTTTCTTGCACTCCCTTATCAGTCCAGAAGCTGGAAGAGTCCTGCTTCCCTTGGGGTGGTCTCTGTCACAGTGTCATGGCAGCCTCCCCTGTGACTCCCAGTCAACCCAGGCTAGTTGAGACCTAAAATTTCTTGTTTTGTTTTATTTTGTTTTGCTAGTATATTTTATTTTATTTTACTTTTGAGATGGAGTCTCGCTCTGTCACCCAAGCTGGAGTGTAGTGGCACAATCTTGGCTCACTGCAACCTCCATCTCCCAGGTTCAAGCGATTCTCCTGCCTCACCTTCCCGAGTAGCTGGGATTACAGGCGTGCGCCAATGCCCCGCTAATTTTTGTATTTTCATTAGAGATGGGGTTTCACCATGTTGCCCAGGCTGGTCTCAAACTTCTGACCTCAAGTGATCCACTCACCCCGGCCTCCCAAAGTGCTGGGATTATAGGCATGAGCCACTGCACCCGGCCTGCTACTATATTTTAAAGTTAATCCTATATGTTGGTATCATTCAACTTCCAAACACTTCCATGTGTTTTAAAACATCTTTATGCAACAACTGAGAACACATTTGACTATAGAATGGATGTCAGATAATACCAAGGAATTACTGATCACTTAATGAGCTGTGTTAAGGGTGTGGCAGTCATGTAGGGAGGTGCTCATGCTGTTTCAGGCATGTAGACGGATATATGTAAAGTGAAAGGACAGGATAGCTGGGATTTGTTTTAAAGTATTTAAAATTTTTTCAGCAAAGGAAAGGGAGATACATGAAGCAAATGGGGAGAAATTTTCGTAGCTCTTCATTTCCTCTGAGTGGGCGTGAACAGACATTCGTTCACCATTCTACTCAGGCCACTTTTGCCGTATTTCATAGCTGTAGTCTGCATGATCTGAGGCATGTGTGCAGATGTGCTCCCATGAGTAGGGGAAAGACAGAGGGGCAGGAAGTGGAGGGACAGACAGTATTAGAAACAGGTACGGAAGACCCCCCAACCCCTGTGCTTAACCCCACCCTGCTCTGTCAAGTCATACAGGAGGGAAAGATGCCGTGAGTAACTTCTCACTATTAGCGGTTCTTACTTCAACCCTGTCTTCACTGCCTAAGAGTAGGTACAGGACTAATGCAATTAAGGAAAAGCCGTTCCCAGGAAACCCCAAGTTGAGGGCCCCTGAGCTCTTGGTCGTGAGGACACCAACCTCATGGATGTGCTGGCAGAAGGCAGGCACTGTTGTGAGCTGACTGATGAGGTTCAGGTAAGCTGCGCCCAGAGCGTAGAGGGCACAGCGGTTGTAGACAGGCAAGTTCTCCTCATTGACTTGGGCCACGTCCTGCAGCAACAGAGACAAGGCCTCCAGAGTTTTTCACTGACAGACTACACTGGGTGCCAACCCTCCACCCGACCTCTTCTCAGTCTTCTTCAGAAATGCTTGCTTTCCTAGACTAAGTCTTGCTCAGCATTTGACCCACAACTTTCTGGGGAAAAAAAGTCACCTTCATTAAAGCTGAAGGGAGGGGTAGAACAGTCCGTGAACTAGGAGGCTCTTGAGTATTCACAGACTAGAGAGGCAATGACCTCAACTCCCCACTCTGCAGTTCCAGCTGTGGCGACCTTCACTGCCCAAACCCTTATCATTAATCCCACTGCCAGGGCACTGTCTCCTTCACTCTAGCGGATCCTTAGAGGACTGGATTGGCTTGCTAAACTGGGTTCATATGTTAAGCTAAATGAGCTGTGGGAGTTACCAGGGGATTGGGATATAAAGGAACCCCAAGTTCTAGCTCTTGAGGGTAAATAGAATTTTAAAATTGTAGCATCTAGGCTGGTCCTGCAGGATTTAGCACCATCAGACAGGTGAGACTCTGTGAGTGAACTCCCAGGTTTGCCCTGATTCAGGAATATGATGCCTGCCTGGCTTCAGGACCCTGGAGACCCAGCCTTTGAGGTCCAAAGGACCCACCCTGACTCCCAGTAGCCTTGGGTGCACACATGCACCCAGGAACACCATGAAAGTCTCAAGCCCTGTCCGGTGCCACACTGGCTGTCTATGCATCACAAAGGAGGCTTGGTAGACCGATCCCCAGACTTTGAGACTCTGACTTACCTTTCCAGGAAATATATACTTTAAACAAGTACTCAAAGCAATTCTGAAGCACAGCTCTGTTTGGGAACCAGAGAATCTTTTTTTTTTTTAAATTTTTTATTTTTAAAAAATTTTTAGATGGAGTCTTGCTCTGTTGCCCAGACTGGCATGCCGTGGGAAGATCTTGGCTCACTGCAACCTCCACCTCTCGGGTTCAAGTGCTTCTCCTACCTCAGTCTCCCAAGTAGCTGAGACTACAGGTGTGCACCACCATGTCTGGCTAATTTTTGTATTTTTAGTGGAGACGGGGTTTCACCATGTTGGCTAGGCTGGTCTTGAACTCCTGACCTCAAGTGGTCCACCCACCTCAGCCTCCCAAAGTGCTGGGATTACAGGCGTGAGCCACCACGCCCGGCCAAGGGAACCAGAGATTCTCTGGACAAACGAGTTTGTCTGGGATCACTCAGGGCTTAAGAACATCCTCTTAGGAATCCCTGGAGTCTCACCCAGACTCTGCGAGAGATTTGATATATAGTAGCTAAGGGATGTTTCTGAATGACCCCGTTCTCTGGGTCTTCTTTAGCTTGAGGATGGGGCAAGGCCATGAATGAAGCGTTCTTTGGGGTTCCCCAAACAGGACCATGGTTTGGGGTCTTCAGGGAGGAGTGGCCAACCACGCGTGCAATATTCCTGGGCTCCAAAACAGTGTTAAGCAGTTGCTACTCAATATTCTTATCAGGGCTTGCCCAAAACAGGTCCCTCCCCGATCCCAAGCCCCATGCCCTGTGCACACCAGGCCCCACCTGAACAGCCAGCACCAGACGGATGAGGTCCACCACCACCTCCTCGTTAGCCAGCTCGATGCTGATGAGAGCCAACAAGCCATAGAGCGCCTCGTAGTGTTTCTGCACGTTTGTTTCCTCCTTGCAGCTCAGGTAGATGTGTCTGTAGAGCTGCTGGGAGTGCTGGGGACAGGAGCGGGTAGGAGAAGGCCAGGGTCAGTAGGGTGGGGACAGGAGGGGCAAGGAGAACAGGGAGGAAGACCAATCTGAAGGGGGGCAGGATGGCTGTGTGTGCCCCCTCCTCTGTTGCGGAGGGGATGCCTTTAAAGCAGGCTCTGGCAGAAGCGGACACACACAGGTAGGCTCGCATAGAGAGGGATGGGCTCCAGTGAAACCAGCACCAGAGGCTGCTGCCCAAATCCAGGTATAGGAGCAGAACACAGTCACTGGCCCTGGACTGGCTCATCACTCTGGGCTTGACTCCTCAGAGAAGTCAGCTTGACGCATAGCCGCAGAGGGAGGAGGCCGGCCTCTGACCAAGGCAGAGGTCAGCAGTGACTTTTGCTCTGTCACCCAGGCTGGAGTACATTGGTGCAATCTCAGTTTACTGCAACCTCCTCCTCCTGGGTTCAAGTGATTTTCTGGCCTCAGCCTCCCGAGTAGCTGAGATTACAGGTGCCCACCACCATGCCTGGCTAATTTTTGTAGTTTTAGTAAAGATGGGATTTTACCATGTTGGTCAGGCTGGTCTTGAGGTCCCCACCTCACGTGATCTATCCGCCCGCCTCAGCCTCCCAAAGTGCTGGGATTGCAGGCATGAGCCATCGCGCCCGCTCTTCACTGTGTCTGGAGGTCATGCTTGCTTACCTTCTTCATGAAGACGGTGTCCTGTCGGGAGCACTTGTCCACTTTCAGCTTCAGGACAGAGATGTCACTGAGCGTACTGGGAAAGGATGCAAAGGGCCTCCTTAGCCCTTATATGAGGCCAGCCTGAGCTCACACGGGTCACTGGGCTTTACCCCAACATTGTTAGTTGGTAGAAAGCCTCCAGTGCTCCCCTGGCCCTGGTTCTTAGCCCAATTACCTTCTTCTCCCAAGTTCTCAATAATTTGTCCTTTTCTCTCTCTCTCTGTTTCCTTTTTGAGACAGGCTCTCATTCTGTCACCTAGGCTGGAGTGCAGTGGCTCAGTGATCACAGCTCTCTGCAGCTTCAACCTCCAGGGCTCAAGCAATCCTCCCAACTCAGCCTCCCAAGGAGCTGGGACCACAGGTGTGAGCCACCACACTCGGCTAATTTTTATATTTTCTTGTAGAGATGGGGGTCTCACTATGTTGCCCTGGCTGGTCTTGAACTCTTGGGCTCAAGTGATCCTCCCACCTTGGCCTCTCAAAGTGCTGAGATTATAGGCGTGAGCCACCGCCCCTGACCCCTTTTGTCTTAAATCTTCATCCTGATTATGTTCTTCCTCCTCTTATTCCCCACAAATTCCTTCAGTCTGTACTGATAACCTGCATCCCCTTCCTTCTCACTCTTGCAACTCCCTTTAATGCCTACTCTCTATCTTCTAGATCTTCAGTTCACCCTCCTCCTCTCTCAGACACAAGTACCCTTTGGTCTTGCCTCCTCTTGCAGGACCCCAGGGTCAATGTTGGTGATCAACCCTCTGGTGAGTCTCACTGAGTATCTGAATTGTCCTCCCACCTGGGTGTGAGGACAGGACCAGAGGACAGGACCTAATGGAGAGTCCTCTCTCCATCTTGCATCACCTGGAGGAAACACCCCAAGTTCACCTGATGGTAGAGAACTTGTGGCGGTTGCCATGACGATCAATGAAACTGATGAGAATCTCTAGAACAAAGAGTCGAATTTCTGCATCCTCCATGAGGGCAGTGGAGAGAAGGCGGTCCAGGAAGTTGCTGGGCAGGGCTGACATCATGTTGTTGCACTGGAAACCTGTGGATACCTGCAAGGGAGGTATGGACAAGTATGCCTAGGAATGCTGTCCCTCTCAGGTGCAGGAGGAGGCGGAGGAGCAGCCAGCAGAAGTGAGGTCTGATGTACACATGCTCTCCAGACATTACCCAATCCAGCCTCCCCTACCCTGCAGCCCAGGCAACTTTTTGAACACTCCAACATCCACCTAGATGACAGCGAGCTCAGTAGACATGTGAATGGATGCGGACAGCGTGCAGGGACATTCGGGTGTTAAAAAGCAAGCAAGGGATGAGCCCTGGAGGGAGGCGGGAGCCAGGCAATCTCTGAGCCTAACATTCCAGCCAGTTAGGGCACAACTGGTGAACAGCCACAAGGAACACAATGCCTTATTAAGAGAATGATCATCACAAAGAACGAGACAGTGGAAGAACTCACAGCTGGGCTGAAGGATCAGAACTCACACACATGGCAACCACCAAACAGCACACATAGGAAGCATTTGGTAACAGGTCTGTTAGCCTGGCAATAATGGCACTTTGTGACTAAAGCCAGTTTGGCATAAATAGACACGCCATATATGCTGTTGTCAGAGCATTCAACTGCAGCAAAGCACCTTTACTGTTAAATCCATATTGCAAAACAATGCCTTTGATGATTCAGAAGGTTCCTGAGGATGTACCCCAAACTGTCATCTTAAGAAGATGCTGGGTACAAATTAATGAGGGTAAACTCAGCAAAGAAATGGCAGGAATATGGAGACCAAGGTGATAACTACACGAGGGCAGTGTTGGAGCACAAAGGGTTTATAAAAACCTAGTGCCATGAAGAGTATGGACTGGAGAGGAGGGGAGGGAAGGCGTGAGGTGGCGGTGGGGGTGGGGGGGTCTGTTTAGACTGGCATGACTGGAACGGAGACAGAGACTGAGAGACGAGATGGGAGGTCTAGGGAGGGAGAGGGGCCTGGGGACCTCCCAACAGTCTGAGAAGTTTGAAATCTGGTTGTACATCAATTATAAACTGAGGCCGGGCACAGTGGCTCACGCCTATAATCCCAGCGCTTTGGGAGGCCAAGGCAGGTGGATCACTTGAGGTCAGGAGTTCAAGACCAGCCTGACCAACCTGGTAAAACCCCATCTCTACTAAAAATACAAAAAAAAAATTAGCTGATGGCACATGCCTGTAATCCCAGCTACTCGGGAGGCTGAGGCAGGAGAATCGCTTGAACTTGGAAGGCGAAGGTTGCAGTGAGCCAAGATTGCACCACTGCACTCCAGCCTGAGCAACAAGAGCAAAAAAAAAAAAAAAATTATAATATGAGACTTACTCTGAAATAAGAGGCACCTGGTAGAGAACAGCATTTCTAGACAATTATTCTTATACCTGAGTTCCTGACAGGTGGGGAGAGGTGGTTGTGAGATGTCAGGTTTAGGCCCAGGGCTGTACTTCAGAATACCTGGGGAACGTGTTACAAATACAGATTCCAGGACCTCACTCAGGCTAACAGCTCAAAACCTCTGGGAATCATATATTTATCACAAGATTGTCATCAGAATGGTGTTTGAGAGCAATGGATCTAGACTCCAGTGATGGCTGCAGAGATGTAAAGAAGAGTTACATATAAGAGTTACAGGATGGGAAGGATGGGGGCTGGGAGACTGAGGTGGGCACATGTGCCAAGAACATGCGCTGGCAAAACAGGAGAAACAGAGGGGAAAGGGAAATAGGGGGTACCTGGAGGGAACCAGGGTGGGAACCAACAGATTCCATCTTGAGACAGATCATGTCTAAGTGACAAGGCTATCAGTAGCCAATAAGGAACCTTTGTGAAAATTAGAAACAGGTTCCCCATTTGCTGTGGCTGACCCAGCTCTGTGGGTGCCCAGCCTGGCTAGTGAGTGGAACACAGGCTAGATTTCAGCCCCGACTCAACTGACTGGGTGTATTTGTGCAGTATGCAATGTGCACGACTGTATGTGGAGGCCTTCACTTGGTCCCTTGGAAGGAGCTGTCTCCTGCAGAGGAAGAGCAGGAATAGGGATAGATGGGGCTCACCTGCAGGAGGGATTTTAGCAGCATAATCTGGGTCAGACGGTTCCTATTCTCCCTGTAGACCAGAGACACAAATACTCACCAGGATGGTAATGGGGCGGAGATCACACACTTGCCAGCTTAGTTCTACCCCTGATTCGTTTCTCCATGAGGCTTATGGTGTTGAGTTACCCAGGACAGTGGCTTCCGGACCCAGGAAGCCGACCAAGGGGCGACTGGCTCCCCCCACGTTGGGAGGTGGTTATTGATGGGGCAGCCTGAGAAACTGTTGTGGGATCCAAGAGCCCCACTAAAGGCTGCTGCGGGATTTGGGAGTAAAAAGAGAGGAGAGGGCAGAGCCAAGAAAGTTAAGAGGGATAAAGGAAGGAGTCAGAAAATGCAGCTAGGGGAGAGGAGGACTCCAGGCTGGGGGAGATTGGTGGCTCACCCCGTCCTGCCCGTGTCCACCGCCTGGTGCAAGGACGGCCGCGGCACCTTGCTCATGATGAAGAGGATCACCTCGGAGCGCTGGTAGGTGGGCAGCGTGCTGGCAAAAGAGCCTGCAGGAGGTGGCGGAGAGGGTGCCCAGTGAGGCACAGGCTGCAGGGCCCCTCCTGGTTCAGCCTCTCAGCTGCACAAACCCCTGCAGAGAGCGAGGGTTGCCGCTCTCCGGAGTCAATCCAGGACCAGAGAAAGGAACTCAGGATAGCCCGTGTGTGATTCTTCCTCTCCAGGAAGGGGAGGCATCAGGCGGTTCTGGAGGACTCTTCCAGGCGCCGTGTTTTCACTTGTTCCTGAGGCTGTGGTTAAGGTCTTGGCTCCTTGGCTAGGGGGTGGGGATGGTGAATGCTGGGCCCTGGGACCAGGGCGGAGGGAGCCCAAGTTCTCGTTGGGCTGCCCTAGGGTAAATCCTCCTCCCACGAACTAAGAGAAAAAGATGCTTCTGGATTCCTAACCTGCCTACTCCAGGCTGAGGCGAAGCTCGCATGGCTAGGGCAGGCAGGCTGTGAAAGCGGCTTTATCATCTCCGCTCCCAGAAGCACACCCATTTTCTCCATGGCCTGCCCCCTTCCTCATTCTTTCCTCTTAGTCCCCACCTCTCCCTCCTGGAAGCCCTAACCTGGAAGCATCAGGCAGGTCTGATGGAGACTGGGACTAAGGAAGGTTCGCCTGAGACTTCAGATCTGGGAAACCCATCCCACTGTTTGGCGCTGTCGCTCGGGCCCTGCCCAGCCAGCGCACCATGACCGACATCATTTTCTCCGAGGTCAGCGAATAGCATGTGGGTGCGGGACGATCCTACAGAGCCCCGGATGGATGCCCTTCGCCCCAGTGCCGTCCCTCCCTCTCCAATCACATCCCCAGGCCGCCCCCGGGGCCCCGCCCCTTTCCAGGGTCCCTCTTTCCTCCCCTCGGCCCCGCCCCGCCCCTGGCCCCGCCCCGCCCCACCCCTCGGCCCCGAGCCGCACCGACTGTCTTGATGACGGCCTCCTGGAACATGCGCTCCTCGTGCTCCTTGATGATCTTGGTGCCGAGGCTGACCGCCCCGTCGTAGCTCCCGGTCAGCGCGTAGTCGATGCTGAGCCGCAGCTGCCTCAGCAGCGTGTTGAACATCTCCAGCACCGTGGGCCCTGAGAGCGGCGGGGCGGGGCGCCCGAGATTAGGGCTGGCACCCTTCTCCTCCCTGCACCGCGAGCAGGCAGGGCAGGCCCACGCCCCCTTCCAGCCTGGGCTTCCTCTGCGCCTCCAACTTCTCGGCGGACTTCTCCCGAGGAAAACGACCCCTCCCTGTTGCCCCTTGCATCTCTCTGGAAGAGGCGGCAGCCTCCGTGGGGTCCCCGGCCCTCAGGCCCTCGCCATGCCCCTTACCCACAGAGCCCGTGGCGGCGATGACCGCCGCTTCCGACAGGACCTCCACTATGCCTGCGCGCACCGTCGCAGCGCTGCGGCTGTTGGCGTCCAGGTGGCCCAGGAGCTGCTGGATGACCAGGTGGGAGTGCTGCGGCTGCGGGAGGAAGATGAGCTGGGCCTGGACAGTAACCCCACGGGGCCGCAGCCCTCTCCTGGCACCCAAAGGCGGGGGTAAACTAAAGGGACGTCCCAGGGCCCCGGGCACTGCAGGTGGCACTGACACCTTGTGCCCTTTCCTGCATCCTTCCCTCCTCCCTCCAACAAAGAGCCAAATCCCAGTGGAGGCTTCGGCTGACAGTGTTCCAGGGCCCTTTTACTTCAAAATGGGTCAAAAGACCATTTTAAAATAGGGTCTTCCTTTCACTTCTGGTGACTCAGGTCTTTCCGCAAGGGCCACGGGAGGTCACATGGCTTAGTCCAGTGCTGCCTAAAGTGGGGCCCCTGGGCCGGTGCCCATTCAAGATGGGTCTGATACTGGTTTACACTGAGATAAGGATGGGATGGAGAGTCAGTGTTTAGTAAACAATTTGTCAATGCTGTAGCAGCCAAGGGTGTGATCTGTAGGCTTGCATTTTGCATGAGTTTTTCATTTTATTTTTCTAGAAATTATTTGTTTTAATTGTATTTTATAAAAGTGTTGGTCTGTGATGTACTGGAAATCAAATCAGCCGGACCTTCTCCACAGCTAGCTGAAGCAGCACTGGTTTAGGCAACCGGGGGCTTCGGAGGAGTCACAGGGGACTTCTGGCTTTCCACTTTAGTGCCCGTCCGGCTCCCAGAGGGGCCTTTGTCCTGGGATCATGCTGGCCCAGGGGGGCCACCATACCTGAATTGAGTACATGATGATTTTAAAGCAACGGATGGCGAACACCTTGGGTTCCCAAAGAGAATGGTTATCCAGATGTCTGTGAGGGAGAAAACGTGGGGGAACAACTGTGAAACTCCCGGCGGTGTCAGGGAGAAGAGATTAGCTTGGAGGGAGAGGGACACCTCCTCAGAGCCCCTCGCACAGTTCCTGGGTGAAGAAGTGAAGCCTGAAGGGCCTTGGGGTAGTCCCAGTCCAGCGCTGGAGAGAGGCCAAGGACAGCGCTCTGCAGTGGTGGACATGTGCGGTGAAGCTGGGCACCTTCACTTAGCATTGGGTGCCTTCCTACTGCGCAGCACTTGGCCACCCTGTGGCAGCTTTTGCTGTCACAGTGCAGGGAACACAGGCAGAGGGAAGGGATCGACTTGGCTGCGGCACTACCACTGTAATATCCCCTTCCCCCCAGCCAGCCAGGAGATGCCAGGGACCCGAAACATGTCCAGGCTGAAGGCTGGGGCCAAGGCAGTGGGTGGGGGCACTCACATGAGAACAGGCTTGATGGCGTTTTTGATGTTGCCAAAGGCAGCCCGGCCCAGCAGCTCCCGAAGGCACCTCTCAGCCAGCTCCGCAGGGCTCTCTTTCTCCTTCTCAGGTGCTTGGAGGGGTGAGGGAGACCGGCTGGGGAGACAGAGGCACACGGGTAGAGGGTGGCATGCAGGCTGGGGTCAGGCTCTGTGCAGTCCTGCCTTTCTGTTCTTCATCCACGCAGGACACACAGGAATTTGACACGGGTTGCACTAGGCAATAGGGGAGGTGTCACAGCTGTCAGAAATTAAATGGGGGTAAAAAAGCCCCCACTGGGGGAAGTGAGGGAAGATTGGGGAAGAAAATATAAAGTTCTTTTTCTGGAAATCCTTAAAGATTTCCAGACGTGCCACTGTGTGAAGGATGCTCTGAGCCCCATGGGCCAGGTGAGCTGTAGAACATGTGTGTCTTGATGCACCTAAGGCTTCAGAAGGAAGAGGAGATGGGAGATGAAGATAGGGAAGGGAGGCAAAAAACAAAACAGAAGTGGAAGAAAGGAGAGGAGAGAGAGGGAGGGAAAAGGAGAGCCACAGTGGTTGGCTCAGGCAAGAGTCAATGATCCTCAAGTCACAGGGAGTCGGCCCACATCTGGACAGAACAGGAACCCGAGGACTCCCAGCCCAGAGACCACCAGAGACCGTATTGTCAGTGAGACGCTATTCCAGAAACAGCCACGAGAGGGCATATGAATCTCACCCCACCCCACCCCCGACCCCTGCCCCCGTCCACCCAAGTCTAGCTCTAGTAGCCCAGGCTCAACACACTTAACCAGCCTAGTGAACAGATAGCCCAGGTGGGACAGCAACGTGGACCTTTCTCCCCATTCCATTTTACCGAGGGGAAAAATGAGGGGGCAGGGACAGGAATGAATCCCATGCTTAGGGGATCCAGGATTAAAACCCAGTGTCTGCAAGCTCTTGCTGAGTGGCTACAGGCTGGTCAAGCATGCACGTTTTCAGGACCTGAAATAGCATCAGGAAGCAACAGAGGAAGGAAGGTCCAGATGGAAAGTCCACAGTGATTGGAGCCACGAAAGGCATCTTTCTTTTCTTTTTTTTTAGGCGGTGTCTCGCTCTGTCGCCCAGGCTGTAAGTGCAGTAGCACGATCTCGATCTTAGCTCACTTCAAGCTCCGCCTCCCAGACTCCCATTCTCCTGACTCAGCCTCCCGAGTAGCTGGGACTACAGGCGCCTGCCACCACACCTGGCTAATTTTTTTGTATTTTTTCTTTTTTAGTAGAGACACAGTTTCACCGTGTTAGCCAGGACGGTCTCGATCTCCTGACCTCGTGATCCGCCCGCCTCAGCTTCCCAAAGTGCTGGGATTACAGGCATGAGCCACCGCACCTGGCCCACGAAAGGCACCTTAAAGCCTCCTTGGCCCTGTTTCCAGGGAGACAAAGGTAACTAGACTCTTGGTTCTGTGTGTTATTACCAACAGACTTACCCCCAGGGAGCCCAGCACCAACACTGTCCTCCTTCGGTAATGCAGATGTTAAGGGACGCTGCGGGCTGGCACAAAGCCAGACCCATGGCTCCTAGGGAGTCAGCTTTGGACTCACTGCAGAACAAGCCACAAAGCCATGTCCCTGGCCTTGTAGCTGAGTTTTACTGACCAACCCAAACCATGTGGTTCCCAAGCAGCCCTTGAAGGGCTGATCATATCCAACTGTTCTGCCCCACCCCGGCCTGCTTACCTCTCTGCCTCCTCTACATGCTGCAGATTGAAAAGCAGCGATGGGACGATCTTGTCCATGTGCTGTGGGTCCCAGATATTGGCCTGCAGTTCATCATTCACCGTCTTCCTCACCACCCCTTGTAGGCCTTTGATGCCTGACATTCGAATTCTGTAAGGAAAAGGGTGAAGTGGGACTCGGAAGTCCTCCAGTCCTGAGAAGTCCAGCTTCGGTGGTTAAGAGAGGAGCGCAGCTTGGGGGTCAAGGATACATTTGTCCATCAGAAGGCAGAATGGAGACCACCTGCTACTCTCATGGGACCTCCTGGTGCTGGCAGACGTGAGCCCAGGAAGCCATGTTTTTTGATTCATCTTGGAGACTCCCAGGCTGCCCTTGCCTTGATACCGTCTGGGCTCCAGCCCTAGGGTGCTGGGTGCTCCAGCTCCCTGTCTTTAGTACTTAGCTGGGGTTGTTCCAGCTTGGGCCCAAGATGTGAGAGCTCAAAATGCTACCAAGAACTGATGAAGCAGAATCCAAGACTGTGAGCAATTTGCGGGGGCAGTGGGAGGCAGATCCAGAGGGCGAGGCACAGAGCTGCAGGCTCTCTGGGGCACAAAGGGGTTTCAGCTTGGGGCTAGGCTTAACCAGAGGGGAAACTGAGTAACAGCACAGCAGGAGCCCCTTTTGTACACCCCCAGTCTCTGCTACGCTAACCCAGGGTCAGCACAGCCCTGTGGGAGGGAGCCCTCTTTACTGGCCATTTATTTCAGCCTGAAGTTTCTTTCTTCCTTTCTTTTTTATAAAGCCTTTTTTCTGGTTATAAAATAATACATGCTAATCATAGAAAAGTAGAGAGAAGAGAAGATTTACCACTTCCACCACCACTACCACTGTTACCTTGTTATCAGAGATAACTGTTATTGGCATTTTGATGTAATTCCTTTCTTCTGTGCATAATAGATAACAGAATTAAGAACCTATTGCATATTTGATCTGTAACGACTTTTTTTACATACATTCTGTGCATTTTCTTGTGTCATTAACTCTTCATAAACATGTCGAATGGTTGCCTGATACACTAGCATAAGGCCTTTCTCAACTAGTGACTAGTAGTCATTTAAGTTGTTTCCAAACGTTTTGCTTTTTTTTTTTTTTTGAGATGGAGTCTGGCTCTGTCTCAGGCTGGAGTGCAGTGGCGCGATCTCGGCTCTCTGCAACCTCTGCCTCTCAGGTTCAATCGATTCTTCTGCCTCGGCCTCCTGAGTAGCTGGGATTACAGGCATGTGCCACCACGCCCGGCTAATTTTTGTATTTCTAGTGGACACAGGGTTTCACCATGTTGATCAGGTTGGTCTCGAACTCCTTACCTCGTGATCCACCCGCCTCGGCCTCCCAAAATGCTAGGATTACAGGCGTGAGTCACCGTGCCTGGCCAAATGTTTCACTTTTATAATAATGCTGTGATGGGCATCATTGTATAAAATATTTTACTACATTTCAAGTCATTGCCGTGAGTGGAATCACTGAGTCAAAAGGTAAGAAATAAAAGGCAGCCAGATACAGTGGCTCACACCTGTAACCCCAGCACTTTGGGAGGCCGAGGCCAGTGTATATAGCTTGAGCTCAGGAGTTCGAGACCAGCGTGGGCAACATGGCAAAACCTCATCTCTACAAAAAATTAAAACATTAGGCCGGGCGTGGTGGTTCACACCTGTAATCCCAGCACTTTGGGAGGCTGAGGCGGGTGGATCACCTGAGGTCGGGAGTTCGAGACCAGCCTGGTCAACATGGTGAAACCCCATCTATACTAAAAATACAAAATTGGCCGGGCATGGTGGCAGGCCCCTGTAATCCCATTTACTGGAGAGGTTGAGATGAGAGAATCACTTGAACCCAGGAGGCAGAGGTTGCAGTGAGCTGAGATCGTGCCACTGCACTCCTGCCTAGGCGACAGAGTAAGATCCTGTCTCAAAAAAAAAAAAAAAAAAAAAGAGGGGAAAAAAAAAAAAGAAATTAGCCAGGTGTGGTGGTGTGCACCTGTAGTCACAGATACTTAGGAGGCTGGGGTGGAAGGACAGATTGAGCCTGGGAGGCGAAGGTTGCAGTGAGCTGAGATTATGTGAGATCATGCCACTGCACTCCAGCCTGGATGAAAGAGTGAGACTCTGTCTCAAAAAAAGAAACAAAAGGCTCCTGATTTGCCAAAAAAACTGCCCCACCCCCTGCCCATGCGCAAGCTGCAGGAGAATGCCACTCTCACGGTGCCTGCAGTGGTATTGAGGATCTTATTTTAAACATCTGTTCTAATTTTATGAGTCCAAAAAATCCTCACATTTTGTAGCTATTTCAATTCACATCCTTTTGTGATTATTGGAGATGAGCAGTTTTTCTCAAGGTTGAGTTGCCAGTTGCATTTTTAACTTCAGTTTTAACTGGGGTTGCCAGGGTGCTACCCTGGGCCTTACCAAGGAACTGTGACTGGAGGTGGCAGGAGCCTACGAACACCAGGATACCCTGGCCCAGAAGCCTTTAGGGCCACTGGCAATGGGCAAGGATTCCCCGGAAGTACCTGGCCACACTGACCTGACCCTGACCACGTTCAAGACCCTGAGCTGGCAGCTGTCTGGACTTGGGAATGAACGACCAGGAATACTGTCCTGCTGACTTTTCTTGGTTTCAGTTTAAAAAGGCACTCCCCAAAGGACAAGTGCAACATATCCCCGGCGTGCTGGACTCGTTTGTCCCACCCAAGGGGGCCTGGCTGGCAGGAAACAAGGCCTGGTTGGCAGAAAAAATTCTACCCAGGGCTCCCTCATGTGTACATGTGAATTAATTTTTCTTCTTTTTCTACTTTGCACTCTTTCAGTCTCCTCAGAATCCCTTCCACAAATGCACATGATTCATTCTGTGACACCCAGAGCTGACCATGCCTTTCAAAAGAAGTTCAGAAAGATCAGGCCTGGGGGAGGAGGAACTTCTTACTCTTCCTATTTATTTATTTACTTATTTTTCGAGACAGAGTCTCACTCTGTTGCCCAGGCTGGAGTGCAGTGGCGCAATCTCAGCTCACTGCAACTTCCACCTCCCGGATTCAAGCAATTCTTGTGCCTCAGCCACCCGAGTAGCTGGGATGACAGTTGCGTGCCACCATGCCTGGCTAATTTTTTGTATTTTTAATAGAGACGGGGTTTCGCCATGTTGGCCAGGCTGGTCTTGAACTCCTGACCTCAAGTAATCCACCTGCCTCAGTCTCCCAAAGTGCTGGGAATACAGGCATCAGCCACCACACCTGGCCCTTCTACTCCTCTTAATGGGCACAGTGGAGATCTACCCATGACCAAGGGCCCCAGGAAGTCTCTGAATCACTTGAACCTGGGAGGCGGAGGTTGCAGTTAGCCAAGACTGCGCCACTGCACTCCAGCCTGGGCAACAGAGTGAAACTCGGTCTTAAAAAACAAAAAGGAGAAACCACATGTAGGGAGCTGGGTGCTGCCTGTCTGCCCAGCAACATCAGAGCAGACACAGACACTAACAAAAGCAGACACGCAATAGCAGGTTGGAAGTTATCTACAGGACCCACCTTTGCTTCTGCTGTGAGCTGAACCACCCACCCTTGCCTTCCCCTACTCACTTAGTCTTGATTTCTAAGTCATCGTGGCTTGAGTGGCACATTTCACTGAATCGGGACACAAAGAAGTCATAGCTCCGGTGATAGGATGGGGTGTCCTCCTCGATGTTGGCAAACTTCACAAACTATCAGGGAGGAAGGAGATAAATACACGAGAGAGGTGACCCACTGTGCTCCTCACTGCTGGGCATCCCCAGACCCCCTGCCATGGTCAAGCCATGGGAACCACGCATCCCGGAGCCAGCTCGGCCGGCCTCGCAGAGCACACTGGAGAAATGAGTTCCCAATCCTGCTCACCTCTCCCGTTGCACAACAAGATTGGAAACCATGGCCCTTCTCAGGCCTACCCTGCTGTGGGAGCAGAGGATGGAAGAGAAGGGAACATGAAGGGGTTCACGGAAGCACCTGCCCTCACCCCTCCACCCAGAACTGCACAAACACACCGGGGTAGGGAGGCTGTTAGGAATAACATGGAACCTGAGTGAAAGCCAGCGATGAAGCAGCAGCACCACCCTCAATGAATTCGAGGACACAAGAACAAATCTAAAATTTGACTTAAAAATGTAATTACACTTTATTGTTAGAAATTGGAATTTGGTCAGGTGCAGTGGCTCATGTCTGTAATCCCAGCACTTTGGGAGGCTGAGGTGGGTGGATCATTTGAGGTCAGGAGTTCAAGACCAGCTGGCCAACATGGTGAGACCCTGTCTCTACTAAAAATACAAAATTACCCAGGCACGGTGGCAGGTGCCTGTAGTCCCAGCTACTTTGGGAGGCTGAGGCAAGAGAATCACTTGAACCTGGGAGGTGGAGGTTGTAGTGAGCCGAGATCGCACCACTGCACTCCAGCCTGGGTGATAGAGCGAGACTCCATCTCAGACAAAAACAAACAAAAACAACAATAACAACAAAAATGGAGTCCGTTTTTTGAGTTTGCCATTTCAGTTCAGTAGGTCCTGATAGGCATCCTGGGCAGCTAGGTTCCTTCTGCACCAGGATGCTGCACATTTGCAATTCTAAATAGGGACTTAATTTCAACTGAGTCCTGCAGAGAAGCAACAATCATGAACTAAATGAAGTTAAATTACTAAATATTTAATATGATTCTTATGGGGCTTTTGTTGTTGTTGTTGCTGTTTTTGAGACGGAGTCTTGCTCTGTCGCCAGACTGGAATGCCGTGGCGCGATCTCGGCTCACTACAACCTCTACCTCCCGGGTTCAAGTGATTCTCTTGCCTCAGTCTCCCAGGTAGCTGGGTCTACAGGAGTGCACCACCACGCCCAGCTAATTTTTGTATTTTTCATAGAGATGGGGTTTCACCATGTTGGCCAGGAATGGTCTTGATCTCTTGACCTTGTGATCCGCCCACCTCAGCCTCCCAAAGTGCTGGGATTACAGGTGTGAGCCACTGTGCCCGGCCAGGGCTTTTTTTTTTTTTTTTTTTAAGACGAAGTCTTACTCTGTTGCCCAGGCTGGCATGCAATGGCACGATCTCGGCTCACTGCAACTTCCTCCTCTCGGTTTCAAGTGATTCTCCTGCCTCAGCCTCCTAACTAGCTGAGATTACAGGGACCTGCCATCATGCCCAGCTAATTTCTTTTTTTTTTTTTGTAGAGAGGGGGTTTCACTATGTTGGTCAGGCTGGTCTTGAACTCCTGACCTCAGGTTATCCATCCACCTCAGCCTCCCAAAGTGCTGGGATTACAGGCATCAGCCATAGCGCCCAGCCTTTATAGGTTGTTTTGTTTACTGTTATTAATCTAGTACCCCCAAACAACTAAAAAGGTTAGATTCACTATACAATATATTCTCCATTATTCTGCCCTGTATTATTATTTAATTTTTATAAACATGTGTTGCGTCAAAAAGGATATGGTATTCTTCCCAAAAGTATCTAGTTAGTGGACTCTCATATTTAGTATTGTCAATTTGTATCTGTATTTAACGACTTAAAAGTTGTTAATAACTTTTTCTGAATGAAAATTAGCAGCTTCCACAAACATCATTAATTATTGTAGTGTTTTATTCTTACAATAATAAACACAACAGCTACGTTCTGTTGACTGAGAGAATCCCAGCATATAAGCAAATAAGGAGATCTTTCCTTCCAAGCTACATCTAAAATGGATTCATATATTTGGGAGAGAATATTCTGATATCAGCAATAAATTCAAGTGACATTGCTGGCCTGCCTGATGTGGTGATGCAGAAGAGACACAATGGTGGATCCAATGGTAATCCATGCGATCAGAAGATCATCGATTACGTGCAAATTCAGGAGAGTTCCAGAAAGAAGGCTGAAGTCGGCCTTCGGCTGCCTGGCCTTCATAAGCCCCCAAGGCTGGAACACAGACTTGAGGTGCTGAAGCCATGAACCAGGTTTGGCTGAAGTTAAGGTTGGGTGCATCACTGCCCTTAGCCACTGACACAGGCAAAGTCTGGTCCAGTCAGGATGTCTGTCCACTCAGAGGAGACACACAGCTCTAGCAGGTTCTAAATGCAGATCTAGCTCTTAACTGGAGGTGTGGATTTTGAATGAGATATTTAACTTCTTTTTATGTTTTGGTTTTCCCATGTGCAAAGTAAGCAGCCCGGTTGTCACTAAGGTTCTTTTAAAGTTTCAAAAATCTGTACTATGTCTACTTCGAATATGATGAGGCAGATTAAGACTCCCTGTGTGTGTAAGAGTGCCTGCATTTTAGAATAAAAGAAACAGTGAAAAAAAGAAGCCAGTAACAAAGAGAAAGAAACAAACACAGACTTTGTCCCCAGGATGTAGTGACTGTGTAGACTCAAATGTACCTCAGGAGAATGAATGGCCAAACTTTATGTTCACTGGTTTGGGAGTTTGTGGGCTAATGGCTATGAACATTTTAGAAGCAATTTTTTTTTTTTTTTTTTTTTTTGAGGCAGGTTCTCGCTCTGTCATCCAGGCTGGAGTGCAGTGGTGTGATCTTGGCTTACTGCAACCTCTGCCTCCTGGGTTCAAGTGGTTCTCCCTACTCAGCCTCCCTAATAGCTGGGACTACAGCCACGATGCCTGGCTAATTTTGTATTTTTAGTAGAGACGGGGTTTTGCCATGTTGGCCAGGCTGGTCTTGAAGTCCTGACCTCAAGTGATCCTCCTGCCTTGGCCTCCCAAAGTGCTGGGATTACAGTCGTGAGCCACCCCGCCTGGCCTAGAAGCTTATATAATGTCTGGTACTACCCTAAGACTTGTACACACATCATCTCTTTTATTTCTTAAAATGATTCTAAGTTAGAGTGGTTTCTATTCTCATTTTATAGACAAAGAGACTGACATCCACAACAGTTAGGCAACTTGCCCAAGGCCCTGCAGGAGGTGCACGGTCCCCCACATCCTGCTGCCTTCTCCAGCAGGACTTCCTCACTGAAAACCTTGGCTTTTTGGTTGTTTTGTTTTATTTTTATTTTTCAGCTTTATTTAGGTATAATGGACAAATAGAAATCATATCTATATATTTAAGGTGTACAACTTGATGTTTTAGTTATTTATTCACTCATTTATAGAGACAGAGTCTTACTCTGTCACCCAGGCTGGAGTGCAGTGGTGCAATCATGGCTCACCGCAGCCTGGAACTCCTGGGCTCAAGTGATCCTCCTGCTTCCTGAGTAGCTAGGACTACAGGTGTGCACCACCATGGCTGGCTAATTTTTTTTTTTTTATTGTTTTATTTTTTAGACAGAGTCTCACTCTATCACCCAGGCTGGAGTGCAGTGGCGCGATCTTGGCTCACTGCAAGCGCCGCCTCCTGGATTCAAGCAATTCTGCTGCCTCAGCCTCCCGAGTAGCTGGGACTACAGGCACCCACCACCACAACCAGCTAATTTTTTTGTATTTTTAGTAGAGACGGGGTTTCACCATGTTAGCCAGGATGGTCTCGATCTCCTGACCTCGTGATCTGCCCACCTCGGCCTCCCAAAGTGCTGGGATTACAGGCGTGAGTCACCACACCTGGCTTCTTTTTTTTGTAGAGACAGGGTCTCATTATGTTGCCCAGGCTGGTCTCAAACTCCTGGGATCAAGTAATCCTCCCTCCTAGGCCTCCAACTTGATGTTTCTGACATACACTGTGAAATAGTCACCATGGTTAAGCCAGTTAACATATCACCTCATATAACTGCCATTTTCTTTCCCCTTCCCTCCTTCCTTTCTGTGGTAAGAACATTTAAGATAGGTAAGATGTGGAAACAACCTAAATGTCTGACAAATAAATAGATATAGAAAATCCATTTGCGTATCCATTTGTGTCATCTGTGTATACACACACAGTGGTATATTATTCAGCCTTAAAGAAGGGGATCCTGCCGGCTGCAACAAAATGGATGAACCTGGAAGACATTATGCTCGGTAAAACAAATCAGATACAGAAAGAGAAACACTGCCTAATCTCACTCATATGTGGAATCTAAAATGGTTAATCTCAGCCAGGCGCAGTGACTCACGCCTGTAATCCCAGCACTTTGGGAGGCCGAGGCAGGCAGATCACTTGAGGTCAGGAGTTTGAGACCAGCCTGGCCAACATGGTGAAACCCCGTCTCTACTAAAAATACAAAAAATTTGTCAGGCGTGGTGGTGGGCGCCTGTAATCCCAGTTACTTGGGAGGCTGAGGCAGGAGAATTGCTTGAACCCGGGAGGCAGAGGTTGTAGTAAGCCAAGATTACACCACTGCCCTCTAGCCCGGGCGACAGAGCAAGACTCCATCTCAAAATAAAATTAAATTAAAATTAAATAGAAAATAAAATAAAATGTCAAGTTCACAGAAGCAGAGTAGAAGGGAGATTGCCAGGGCCTAGGGGTAGTGGAAATAGGGAGACGTTGGGCAAAGGGTACAAACTTTCTCCAGTTTTTATTGCCGCCTTCTGCTTCCTCCAGCCTCAGGCCAGATGACACAGGAACATTGCTGCTGGGGAGGGGGGATGATATTGTTAGGGAAGAACAAGAGGTGGATGAGAAAGTGGGCAACAGGCACCTTAGTATTGTTTTATTAAGAGGGTGGGGGACAGGTAGGGTGGGGCTGGAGGTGGGAGGACTCGGCTTTTCAAACACTGCCAGACAGCAGAGCCATGGGGCACTGCTGACCACACTGGTTTCTGGCTGA